GACAACAAGATTTGCAAGAAAAATGAGACAAACCTTTGTTAAGATTTCCAAGAAATAGAGTGTCCTGCTCAACTGAGGGGCGAATCCCAATTTTCTTCCCGTCCAGCTGAAATAATAGCCACAAAAATATATCAAATGTAATAGGGAGAAAATCTCACTGTTCAACAGATTACAAGCAACCAGACTCATAACAAGATGACTATTTGCCAAACATTTCATACTAAGAGAGAAGTAATCTTATCCAGTCACCAAGTTTCAAACCGTGAGCAACTGACCCTCGGGGATTTCTCGGTCATCAAAAGAAAAATTGGTCATGGACAATATGAGCCAGATAAATAATACTCCCTCCTTTCCTTTTCATACGTCACCTTTTTAGAAATCACTTGCATTAAGAAACTAAGTTTACAATTCTACCTTATGTGATAAAACCAACGTTATGATTCTTACTGTTCCATAATACAGAGTCACCACCACAAAAGACATAGTATCCAAACATAAATAGTTGATCAATAGGAGAATCAACCCAATTTGCATCAGAGTATCCTATATCTTGAGAATTTTCTTCCGTCTTTGTATAGTAACATTTAGCTTGGTGCTTTACTAAGTATCTTATAGTTCATATAACAACATCCCGATGATCAGTGCTTGCAGAGCATGAATTGACAAACTACGACCGTAGCAAAAGAAGAGCTTGATGTGATAACAGAGAGGTACTTTAATGAACCAACCAACCTTTTGTTACCTGTTAAGATCTACATAGCTTACCCCCTGATATTAGGGGCTTACTATTTGGATCCATGGAACTATTAATAGGTCTATGGTCCTTGACTATGCTATCAAATACAACATATAATCTAGTGAATGCTCATGAATAAGTAAGGAGATAACCCAACAAAACAAAGATGTTCATAGTTGAACAAATACCAAATTAGGTGTTTGTAGCTATCCAAAGAACGGAAAAAAAAGAAAGTAAAACGAAAAAGAGCAAAAAAACACTGAACTGATCAATTGCTCCCATTGATGGAAAAAATCCCAGCATTTATACAAATCTGAGCTTTCAAGAAAGCAAGATGTACAGTTCAAGCTTATCTTCATGAAGAAAAATATTCAAGTAATGAGTTAAAAGTGTCAAAATGTCAAGAAATAGTTGGTTATACAGCCAATCTTTTATTCTGGGGAAAAATCAATATTCTGAGTAAGTCACGTTTTCTTAATATTATTTTAGAGGAACCCATTCTTGAATAAAAAGAAGGCAAGCCTTTGAAAATAGATGTAAGCCATCAAGTAAAAGTTTCGGCTAGGAATTTTATACTATTGTTTATCCAAGTAAGTGGTCGATCTTATGTACATTCATGAATTATAACAGCATCACAAAGGCAATTTGATAGCAAAAAAAAATAATGCAAGAGTTTATCAAGACAAGACAGTGAAATAATGCATCTATGTTAGCCTTTTACCACATATCCAGATTTTTCCTTCAGAGCTTTGTCAGCAGCATATTTTGTTGCAAATCGTACAAAGCAGAACCCCTGTAGTCATAACAAATTAACACTGCAACATTAGCATCTAAACCATCCTTTTTTCTAATGTCTCTTTTTTAGCTTCTTTTCTTTTTTTTAGGGATGGCAAAGCATGAAAATTACAGGTAATACAAATAAACAGATCATACTGACTACCTTGGCATTGCCTATCTGGTCTTTTATCAACCGTATTTCCACAATCTCACCGCATGAAGAAAATACCTGTAAAATGCAGATAAACGTTTATATACACATAATCTGACAGAAATACACTGTGATAATATAAGATAGTTACAAATCATTGACGATAAGAAGTCCAGCTCTAATCATATGTTTCTTACCATTATATTTTTGTAAACCAGAAACACTAGCTTTCGGCAGAGGAGTGTTCTGTTAGTTTTTTAAAGATTAAAGTAGAGTCACAAAAAATAAATTTGCAAGTGCAGAATGTAAATAGGTAAACTGATCTACCACAAAATAGGGCATGACTAAGTTTAACAATTCAACCCCAAGAGAGAGGAGTAAAGCTGACAAACAACAACCATATCATATAGTTTATTTAAGAACAAAATTGATTGTTATTTAATAGAAGTTAAAATAATATCCATTTTGTAATATAGTTCATGAGAATAACAATTTATGATGTAAGGAGCAATTGGTTGCGTCATTACCATAATAAGGGATAAACCCCACTTGCCTCAAAAGAAGTATGGTCTGTTCAAAAAATGACCTAACCAAGCCCTCAAAGACAGCAGAAAACTAGTCACCCTTAGAATTCAGTGAATTTAACCCTTTGATTGAACAAGCAATCTAGCCTAACTTCAATCCTTCAAGTCAATAGGAGACTTAGCCTAAAACATTACAACATACGCACAACATCATACATCCGCACAACTTTATATTATTTTTTAAAAAAAAAAATTGTACTTAATAATATAACATGCGCACAACAATTTGTTCTTTTTATATACATTTATTATTAATCAACGCAACACACACGTGCAAAGCACGTACACTTAACTAGTACCATCATAATCTGATGAAAGGCATCCAGTGAATGGCCTGGGTAACTGTTGCGCAAGGTAAAGTTCCACCCAAAGTCACATGCATTAGTTGGACGTTGTATATGATGTATATCTCACTCAAAGACAACAAGAGAATGAGACGTTTTATCCCATCCAATCGGTTTTATATGTATGAAAAGGATATCAACGATACTAATCATCTTTTTCACATTGTAAGGAAGCGAGGGAGTTATGGGACCATTTTTTTAAAAAAAATCTAATTAGGATCCATTGAGTAATGTGAAGGACTCTAGATATAACCATCTCCATGCAGCTGGTAGGAACACACAAAAAACTCTGCACAAGATTTTGTTTACAACCCCAACATGAATCATGTGGACTCTCCCGAGTGAAGCACCTGGATGTGTTTTGATGGTGAAACTTACCCTAGTCATATACTGATGCATAAGTGTTTAACTGACCTCGTTTTTGGTATAATAAAACTTTAAAATAATGTTGTTGATAAATTGAAACTAGTAACATGTTGATAAGTTGAAATTGTTAACAATGTAGATAACACATTCGTTTTTTAGAACTTCATTTTTACGCACTTTTTGCAACTCTCAGCAACTGCTCACCCAGTTAATAATACTTACTTATTTTATCCACACAAAAAGAAAATCAAAACAAGCTCAATGTAAGAAAAAAATAAAATACTTGAACCAAAAATATAAAAAAAAAAAAATTAACTTGAGGAACCAAACAGATCACGTAACATAAATCCGGAACAAACCTCATGAATTTTGCTTTCAGTAGTAGTACGGGCCAAACCACCAACAAAAATCTCTGTCCCTTTCATTTCCTGTTCTGCCAAAGCCAGAAAAACAAGAAAAGCCCATTAAAAGTGAAAACCCACATTGCGTACAAAGGGAATTGAGACCAAAGAATTGCATCCCCTCTCTATAAAGAATTCACATGAATACACATCATTCAACACCCTTTATTATCCAAATGTCGAAAAAACAATCACAACTTTAGTGAACTAATATATAAACTAACATAACAGTGCGTATGCAACTGAAAAGAAATTTACTGGAGAAAATCGCCCCGCCCAGTGAACGAAAAAAGACCGCGTTTTCAGCCCTTTTAGGGTTCTACCAGTAATGAGCTATACTTAGGCTGCTTTTTTGTCTTCAATTCAATGATTTGCATCAAAATTATCAGTTTTACTTTGGCCAAACAAATTTATGGCATTCCAACTTTTCTGGAAAAAAAATCTAACTTTTATTCACTCTAATTGTATGAATTGTTTGTATAACAAATTAATTACCTGAAAAAATGAAGTCTCCAATGAACTCTCAATCCGAGAGCGATTCGGTCGGAACCCTAAGCCCTCAAATCAGTTGTCGTTTCAGAGTTCAGTCTTCCCTGCAGATCATCGTACTCTTTTTCTATACAGAAGTTAGGGAAAATAGTGCTTTTAGTCCTTAAATATTGCCTTATTTCAGTTTTACTCTTTATATTATTCTGCAGAGCATATATGACCTTTAACTATGTCTAATGTGCTATTTTAGTCCCTAAAGCAAATCTAAATGACACTAAGGAATTATGTTGCAATTACTAAAATAAAATAAAAAATGCAACATGTTTGCTCTTTTCACTACCTTCTCTACATCACTCTCCTTCACCTTTAGTTTTAATGACCGGATCAGTTTTCACACACCTCGATTAATTTCAGAGGATACCTCCCACCAACAATAGGTATTAGATAATTCTTTCCACTAAGGTTAGAACAAATGGGAAGAATCACCTAGTGTTTTTACATTAGGAGCAGCATTCCTAATGTCTTACTTGTTAAATGTAAATAATTCTAGGAGATTGAATTATATGTGTGATGCTTCATGCTTGCAAAGTATGTGATTTAGCAGTAGAAATGATCTAGCTAGCATATGTTTTTTTAGTTGTTGAAAGCTCAATTAGTATGGAAGTTGATTCATACCAACTGACCAAAATTTAGAAGAAAACAAGGTTGATTTTGCAAGATGGTGGAATGATTTGTTTCACAATACATGTCAATGTCCTGATTTTCTTGAGCTAATGAGCTAAATTCTTCTAAATTTTCACAGTGAGATGCATGAACTTAATAATGACATAATTAATAAGCTTCTTTTGTTATCCAATCATTATCTCTTGCTTTTGATTTTTCCTTTTTTGTTACCATTCAGCAAGTATAGATGGGGATAGAAACATGTTAAAATCCTTCCTAGCTTTCTTTTTGTTTGCAGTTAGTTTGTTGAATAAATAAGTTCGGGATTGAGGTGTAGTTGTTGATATTGATTATATTTCTAGAACTTCAACGTGCGTAGCCTTTAGGGTGGAGGTGGGGCGGTCATTTTCTTCAGACAAGTGAATGGTTATAGAACAATTATATATGTCAACACAACCTGCATTATTGCAAACATAAAAAGGAAGCATCTTTGGTTTAATCGAATAAGGTCTTTTACAATCTACGATTAGATCTCATTTTTTAATATGAAATAACACCATTGTGTTTTATTGTTCTTCTGGAGTAAGTTGTCCACTGCAAGTAAAGTTTTTGTATTTGTAACATCACTATGTTCCCTCTTTAAGTCTTTCTAGCATCTTTTCCTTGATAAGTCTTCTCATTATTTTTCCAGAAGGAGATTTCGGAATACTATCCACAAACTGCACCACTCTCACTCGTTTATACTGTGCAACGGTTGATGCAACGTAGTTGATGATGTCCTCATGGCTTTCTTTTGCTTTTGAGTTCAATACTACCCATGCTGCTGGTATCTCTCCTGCTTCTTCATCTGGTAGCCTAGAGTTGTAAAGAATATACATCCGTTATTCGTGTCAGTTTTTCCATTTTAAAACTGAACTCAGCTAGTTGATTTTACTTACCCAACTACTGCAGCATCTTCCACTGAAGGATGTGTGAGAAGGATCCCCTCTAATTCAGCTGGTGCAACCTGTTAAACCAGCAAAGAGGTCCAAAGACAAAAGTAAAAACAGGATTCTTGGTTCAGCTTAGTAAATTTGATCAAGTTTTAAGATAGGTCCAAAAAGAAAAACAGATTCGACTTGGTAATATGAGTGTTATCTTTACTTGGAATCCCTTGTACTTGATAAGCTCTTTGATACGATCCACTAGAAAGATATCACCATCATCGTCTATGTAGCCAATGTCACCAGTGTGAAGCCACCCATCCGTATCAATTGTAAGGCTAGTCTCGGTTTCATTTTTGTAGTAACCTGTAAATTTTCACATCAAAGGGTTAAGTTCCATATATCTACCAATGCCTGCTAGAACAAAGGACTGTTTAAAGGGAAGAGTTATGGTCAGTTACCCTTCATAACACATTGGCTTTTGACACATATCTCGCCTGGTGTGTTCTTGGGGAGAGATCTACCGGTATCAGGATCAATGAACTTTACCTCCAAATTAGGCAGAATAAAACCAACGGAATTTCTTTTAGCAATGTGCTGATTGCTGTGGGAAAGAGTAATGCAGCTGTGCTCAGTCATCCCATATGCCTACAGTTGAATAAACCAGAACAAAACTTGTCAAAAACAACATTTTGGACTGAATAATTCGTTGACATCAGAAGGACCACTATAAGTTTCTAGTGGATGTTCACCTCTTGGACCTGAACATCCGGAAATTTCTTCTCAAATTCATTAAGAATCTCAGGGGCAAGTGGAGCAGCTGCTGTCATTATGGATCTAAGCTTAAGCTTTTTGAGATCAAATTCATCAACGATCGGATTCTTAACAAGTGCCAAGATGATAGGTGGCACGATAGGTGCAAATGAGACTTCATGTGTGATGAGTGCATTTAGAAATGCCCTCAGTTCGTACCTACGCATGACAACCACTTTCCCTTTGTTCCTAATGGTTGCACAACAGATTCCGGTTATACCATAAATGTGAAAGAATGGTATCAGACCTAGTATCGTAACTTGACCTATCATTTCTGGACTAATGCTAAAGAGTGTAGAGCAGAGGTTTGCTACTAGATTTCTGTGAGTTAACATCACTCCCTTGGATAGTCCTGTCGTGCCTGATGAAAAGGGCAGTGCACATAGATCACTTTGTTGCACAATTTCATCTTCTTGGTTTGTTAAGTGATCAGTTCTGGAACTGGCACGATCTGCAGCTTCGAGCAATTCATCCCAATGAATTGTTCCTTCTACACGTTCTTCACCTAGTATTATTACTGGCAGCCCACAATCTTTCACCTGCAATTTCCATTACTTTAGTTGGAAGATGAAAGCATCTTGTTTTCCATCATAGTAAAATGCAAGTTTTAGTTGGACCAATACGAGTAACAAGTACAAGAAGTTTGGTCCTAATGAGCCATCTGAAGACACTCTTCTACAAGAGGTGTCATCTCAAATTTCTTAAGTAAGTACGTGCGCGTGTGTATATAATAAACATCCATTGGGGACAAGTAAAGTCTTAAAACCTCTATAACCCCATACGCAAATCATAGACAAGTCAAGTTAATCGTGATAATAGGCTGACACTGCTTAGGCAACTTTATGCGTACACCACTGAAATGAGTTGGAAGTTTACTTACCTTGTGATAGGTTGGTAGATCAGAGACAATAAGCTTGCCATCAGCAGATTCTACTTGTTTCATAATTTCCGATGAATGAGCTGCGGGATTTGCACCTGAAAAGACACCACCAGCAGCCATGATTCCGAGAGCAACAATAGCATATTCCGGTACATTTGGAAGCACTACCAACACAACCCTTCCTTTTCTTAAGCCAAGGGACCTCAAGGCCTTGGCAAACCTCCTTATGTCTCTTTCAACTTCGCCATAAGTGTAGCCTTTGCCAGTGGTAGCATCCACAAACGCCAGTCTGTCAGCGTATAACTCTACATTGTGAAGTACAAAATCCGGGAGAGTCACGTTGTCTGGTACATGGACCGGAGGATATCTACTCCGGAAAATGTGTTCACCTTCCTCTTGCTTTTGTGAGCATTCAACTACATGAGTTCCCATTGCCAGGAATATGCCTTATCTCAACTCCCCAAGCTAATTTATAGGTGAATTAAGTTATTATACCTTGGTAAGTACCAAGTAGTAGCATCACGAATATGAAATGAGCATGCGTGGATGTTAGAAGATTGGTAGATGAATGCTTTTCTTATTTTGGTGATAAGTAAGAATTTGTTGAATCATTCCATTCTGCCTGAAGTTTTCTTGCATTAGTTTTTTTTTTTCTTTCCTATAACTCATCTTGCGAAATCCACCCCCCCAAACACACACTTTTGTTGTGTTTCTACATGATTTATATATACATCATCATCAGGATTGCAATCCTGAAAAAAAAAATTAAAAAATATTTCTACTAGTAGACGAACTCATCTGCAACAACCAGCGTCCTTCCCATTTTTTTTCTTTTGACAGAGGGTCCAAATGAAAACAACTTTCTCAAGTCTATCATAGACAAACCGCTACCTCATTAAGTCTGGAAATTACTGCATCGACTACCAAGAAGAGATTCCAGACAATTTTTGAATGAAGATCCATAGCATTCTTGATTTCATATAAAAACTACAGGGTAAACCATAAGAAACCTAAATGTCAATTTGCCTCTACGAGTACAATTTTTCAAAGAATATGAAAACAAACGTCAACAACCAAATTATTAAATATAGGCCGCTTATTTTTATAGGGAAAAACTACAAAACCGTTACAAAACCAGAAGGTAGGCAAGAGGAAGAATTAGAAAAGTAAGACCTATATGTCCAAGTTTGGAATGGTCGAGCGAGGTGTGTAATTGTGATGCATTACAACTCCAAAAAAAAAAAGAATCATCTAATAACGGAGCATGTAGGTTCTGCGCCTGAACCAGTTATAATCAGGTAGAGTCTGGATAGGCCCCAACGCGGATATAGCAACATCCTGCCCAAAAGGAAGAAAATTTTGGTTCATTGTTTTATAGCAAAGAACTCCCAAGTCTCAAAAAAAAATTGAATCCTACCTGGTCAAAGATAAATCTGTTTGCAACTCGTTTGATAGTGCTAGCATCCACGGCATCAACCCTTGCAAACAGCTCTGTGACTGGAATCCTTCTGCCATATGTGAGTAGCTGCAAGCAGGAGAAACGAAAGGTAAATGCATTAAGCAAAATGATCTTAGTTCACAAAATCACTGGATCCCATTCCTAACGAAGTCAAGCTTACTTTAAATACATTTTTTCCTCATATTGGAAGGGGGGGGGAGTTTAATCAACCTATGTTCTCCACTTGCAAGCAGATGATGCAGTACGCTTCACTTCATACAAAACACAAATACTTGATGACACACTCAAACTAGTCAGCAAACATAAAACCAGAGAAAAGGCACATAGTTGATCATTTGGCTCTTCACATTATAAATTTTTCTAACTCAACTTGAGCAAAGGGACTGCGGTTTAAGAGCTGTTCTTTTTTGTTTTCCATTTTTTCTTCTTATAAGGTCTGTTAAGAGCTATTTTTACCGAACATTAAGCACGCATAATTAGGCTGCTTCTTGATGTTGTACAGCACCACCCAGTCACACTACCTCTCACAAAAATGAACTTTATGATCCAAATATGGTATGTGTCATTGCTGCTGATATGGCTAACACGTGTTTATATTTAGTTACAGTAACATTGGAAGTAGAAGCCGTAATAGTGGTGAAGAGGATTATTCTGGCATCGTGAAATCGTGAAATTCAGAATCTATATGCAATAATGGACCGAACTGTTGTCATCATCTAGGGTAGGGCAGTACCATTAGTAGGCTTTGGCACGGTTCAACTAAAACTGCTCTAAGAGTAATGAAATTCCTAAAGTATCCTCTTCGCTACTATTATAGCTTCTACTTCAGAATCTTTATGGTCATGGAATGACTAAAGTACATGAAGCAATTCAATCTCATTCATGCACATATATGGAGGTGTCCAGAACATTCTTAGGGAAACTAATACTGTGGGAGAAGGAAATAAATTCCATCTGCAGCATCTAATCTATGACACAACCCAATCCCAACACTTGCCCCCGAAATTACAAGGAATAACAAAAAGAAAAAAGACTAATTACAATCATGACAAAACACACGTGTACACCCACGGAATCAGATATCAGAATAGTACCTGACGCCCAATGTCTTCAGCAACAGGACTAGTTCCATCAATGTGAAGCATGAGAGAAGACTTCAACTGCAAACCGGTATTGGTGAGAGAGAAACAAAGAAAACAGCAGGGGGGGAATAACAACTAGACCAGACCGTTAAAACATTAAGCAACACTAACCTGGTTGCAAGCACGAGTCACATCAGCATCCGAAACCCGGTAGCACAACTTGCTTATCTCACGCATAATGCAGTAGGACAAATCACTCAAACAATCAGGCTGCAAATTAAGATTTCATTTGAGATAAAACAAGGATTATTCACAACCATAAAAAGGATCGCAATACAACACCAAATCATATTAATTTTGTCTTTAGAGAAAAAAAATTTGCTTCTTTTAAGAACAAATAAACAAATTGCTCAGTTTATACTAACCAAAATATCTCAAAAAATCCAAGATGATCAGAACTACCTTGCCTAATATAAAACTAGAATTATTTACAACCACATGCCAGTCAAAAGGGTCACAATACCAACACCTAACCATCTTTTTTTTGTCATTAGAGAAAAGGTCTGCTTCTTTTAAGAACAAATAAATGAATTACTCCGTTTATACTAACCACAATATCTCAAAAAATCCAAGCAGATGAGCACCTTGTCTAATAATATATGAACTGCATCAATCCAAAACATGAGCAGTAGATGACATGAAGAACTAGTTCACTTCGCATTCAATATACAACCAATAAACACTTAGAATACTTTTTAAGCATATTCAAGATTCCAGACTCCATTTTAATCATAATGAAATAAAAACACAGATGAAGGGTATAATAAAAGGTACATTTGAATACCTAAACCCATGATACAAGACGCGGCGCATTAAAACCTTTACATCCAACTCTAATACTCCAATCAGCTGAGCAAGAGCTTGCATTTATAGCAGCTCTTCAGCTAACCAACAGATCCACCCCTCTCAGGCTCTCTCTCTCTCTCTCACACACACACACAGTCACACACACATACACACCAAAAAAGAAAATCAGAACAAATTTTACTTGATGGAAGAAAATGCAAGGAAAATAAGGTAACGTATCATCATACTACATTCTTTCCAACAGAAGGAACACTAGGTGTTAAAGATTTTTACCTTTGCAACAGCATACACGCCGAACAGCCCAGTATCCTTATAATTGGTGTTAAAAGACATCATGCTCTCAGCTAGTTCATTAATGCCAACACTTTGTGCCAGATCGGAGCTGCAAATGGTTAGGAAGTCCCATAAAAATCATGAGACAGATCCATTGACATGCTTGCAATGACACAGATTGTAAACGAAGTAGTGATACACAACTCACCCCATGTGTTTCCCTCCTCCGGCATTTTTATTCCAAGTGCCCAGCATGGATTGCATTACCATCAGCGGAATGGCATCTGGATCAGTCCATGGTGCCCCTTGAAAAGCAACAGCAAATTGTGCCAACGGAATGTCATCATCAATTACCCTAACCTGATTTTGGTAAAATGATCAGCATAAGAACTCTATTCTAGCAAAAAAAGCACCATGAAGGCGTAACGAACCCTGATAAGATAGGCATACCTCTGAACCTGTAAAAATTGCTGGTTCTCTGGCAACCAATTCTGAGGCCGTAGTAGGATTGGTTGAAAGTTTAGTAAATTGTTTCTTCACTTGCTCAACAAATTCTTCATGTTTAACAGGCCCAGAAGCAACAATTACCTATTTTAATGTCCACGGAGAAGGCTGAGAGTTTATACAGCAGATTATGATAATATTAAAAGAAACAAGTTTGAGCTAACAAGCAAGACAGACTAAGAAAAAGAAGATGAAAATATTTCCAAAATACCATTCTGGGAGCGGTATAATGTGTTGATATGTAGTCCTTCAGGTGACTTCTGGTGATTGTCTTTATATTCTGGGCAGGTCCAAGAATAGTCCTACCCAAAGGTGAGTACTGGAATGCAGTTGAATGCAAGTGGTCAAAGATGACTTCCTCTGTTTGACCTTCAACCTGCAAACAGATAGTTATAATGGATTGCTAATTTTCAGGTTGAATATGATACAGGCAGCATGATAGAATTCATAAGCTCACTATGGGAGTAACTTTTTGGGTTCTGTGAAGTGTACTCTCTTCTGTTTCTGTAAAGAGGAATGTCTTTTCTTTGTAAGGTCAAGCACAAACTTTTTTTTTTTTGATGACAAGGGAAACCCGGAGCCGCTATCCTTTGGGTGCGCACAGGGTAAAACCCATTTCATTTCCTTTATTATGGCTCTTAATCTCTCAAATAAAGAGATACATAGTGGTTAATACTTAATACTACATTGTATCAACAAGGGCAACCTGACGCACAATAATGCTAAACAAAATCTTAGGATATTAATCAGTAAACCATTTTGACATCTACCTGTCTGCAACTGTACTCAAATACTATGGACTGTATACTTTCATGAAACTGAAGAAGCTAGAGGTAATTTTAAATGAAAGTAAAAGAAAAACGATGAAACAGTAAAGTTAAAACCTGTTAGCATCCAGGGAACTCAACAAGAACGCAAGTGATCTAGAATTTTAGAACACGGGTTAGAGCAAGTTTTTATCCTACGTGAGCTAATGAGGGTTGCTAGGTTGGCGGTCAGTATAAAACTAGTCAATTTACCATGAAGATGCCAATTAGTTTTGAGTGACCAGCTTACTGGTTAAGCTCCAAGTGCATGCAGAGGCTAGTAGAATATAACATAGGGTTATTGCAGCTCATTAACAAGGATGGAAAAAACAGCAATCTTGATATTCAGAGATCAAAGAATAGAGAAAAAAGTGCACCTCCTCCATCTCCCTAAGGATGACATCACGTTCACGTTCAATCTTTCTCTCTTCAAACTTAGAATTCTGAAGTATATCAGCCAAAATATCCAAAGCTACAGGGACATCATTATCCAAAACTTTAGCATAGTATGCTGTTTGCTCCCTGGAAGTATAGGCATTCAAATGTCCACCCATATTCTCAATCTCCTCCTCCATTTCCCAAGAAGTCCTCTTTTCGGTACCCTTAAAGATCATATGCTCAAGAAAATGAGCTGTTCCATTAGTCTCATCGGTCTCAAACCTTGACCCTGCATCAATGAATACCCCAACGGTGGCAGTCTTGACAGCGAGATTAGTCTCCGTGGCCACGCGCAGGCCTGATGGTAGTGTGGTCACGCGCGTAGAAGGGAAGCTGAGGATTGATGTGTGGTCGGCTAAAGTTGGGTGTGGTGAGTTGTACTGAAGGAATCGGGAATCAGGATTCTCGAGTCTTTTGATCTTTTGTTTAACGTCTTCAGCCAATCGATCGTAGATCATTGCATCTGGTGGTGGCGGACCGATGGCCGGGGCGGAGGAGGATGTGGCGGCGACGGCGGCAGACGCCGAATAAAGACGTCGGAGTGAATGGGATGTGGTGAGGTTTCGGGACCGGCGGGCTAGGGTTAAGAGCTGCCGGATCGTCATGGCTATGGCTTATGAATTAGGCTAGGGTTTGTTGTTCCTATACAGGGAAAGAGGGAAATGGGAACGAAGCTCAAGAAAATCAAGAAGCACGTTCTGGTCGACTAAAGAGAGCTTACAAACGACGTCGTACTTGTTTCAGGGATGAAATAGTTGCTTTTTTATGGACTTCCCAAAAGATTGATCTGTTATTAGGCCCATTTGAATCTCTTGAATTAACCCAACATATTCAACGAAATTAGACTATGAAATTAAATCCACACGCTTACAAAGAAGAATCACACCAATATCATTAGAATATAAAGAAATTATGTAATTAGGCAAATATGTAATATGTATTAACAATACACCATTATATAATTTATAGCTATTGTTAAAGTTTGTTACTATTTTCTCTCTATTATCTTCCTCTCTCCCTCGCCTCTCTCCTCTTCCTTCCTCTCTCTCACCTCTCTTTGCCTCATCTATCTAAATACAAATGATAACAATCAAGTATACATATACAAATGATAAGTCAACAACGAATGTTGAACTTGATACAATATTGATGCAATTTATTCATTGATACAAATTGTATTCGTTAATACAATTAATATAAATGATAACAATCAATTATACAAATACAAATGTTGAACTTGGTACAACATTGATACAAGTATTTGTTGATACAATTCTCATTGATACAAATTATATTCGGATACAAAATTGTATTCATTTATACAGTTTTATTCATTGATACATATGCATACTAGTTATATAAATACAATAATTGATACATATACATACAAGTTACATATACATAATTATCTAACAAATATACAAATACATTTTGTCTTTCTCTTCTCTCTACCCCCTCTCTCTAGCTTGCCTCTCTCCTCTTCCTCCATCTCTCAATCTTGCTCGTCTCTCTCTTCTTCTAATATGTAGCTATAAATTATAATTAAGCAAATTATAATTATTTTATCTTATTATATTTTAAGGGCTCGTTTGGTGTGAGGTATAATAACAAATAGTCCCGGGATTAAATTATAGTACCGCTTATTTTGTTGTTTGGTTGGCAAGTTCGGGATAACTTATCCCGGGATTAATAATTAGTACCGGGATAAGTTATCCCTCTCCTTGGGTGGTATAGTAATCCCGGGATAACTTATCCCGGGATAAAATAGGTAAATGACAAAAATGTCTCTTTCAACCCTTTTGTTATATCACTTTTTACATTAATGAAGGGCATTTTTGTAAACAAATAAATTGTTCTTAAAATTTATTATTTTGAATACAACAAACCAAACACTCAATAAAAAATAATCCCAACACAACTTATCCCATCATAACTAATCCCAACATAACTTATCCCAACATAACTTATCCCATCATAACTCATTTTCAAACCAAACGACCCCTAAGTCTTTACTATTTTTCTGGGCTTGGCTAAATATTGGACTCAAGACAAAAAGGAGAGAAAGGCCAGGCTGTGCTTTACTCTAACTGGCCCCAATTTTATTGTGATTTGATGTCTAACAGATGTAATACGTGATTGTGGTTCTGCGTGCTTAGTTCTGTCTGATGGACTTCTCAAATGAAAGCATTCCGACCATAGTACTTTAATAGGAAAATTATGCGAATATCTACTAGTTAATTATTTCATATAATTATAGTTTGAAGAAATTATTTTTTATCACTAACATATAACCAATTTACGTGGTTCACGTCCAGAATTTGTACAATTCAATTCCTAATTGTATAAATTCAGAATTTGTATATGTTTATCCTAACTATTTGTTTATCTTGTTTGTATATGATTTATTGATACATTTAATTTGTATATTATTTGAAAAATTCTAAATGTATAAACAAAATTTATGTGTTTGTATATTGGCAAGCGAAATTTACAAACGGAAATATCTATAGCAAATGAAACTATAGATATAAAGTGTAATTAAATAAACTGTAGCCATGAAAACTTATTAAGTAGGGATGACAATGGGACGGGACAGATGTGGGGAGGATTTAAGGTTGTGCGTAGCAGGAGAATGTCGGGCAAGTTGAAGTGTGTTTTTTTAAAAAACTAATACAGGGCGGGTTGCGGGTATATGTGATTTTATGTGGGTTCAAACTTAATTTTAACTTTTTACATGTTATAAGACTGATAGAACATTATTTATTACAATGATTTCTTTAAAGCTACTAAAATATGCAAGATAGTAATGAAAATAATTCAATAAAAAAAATCAATTTCTTACATGTTTTCCAATGGACCTCTAAAAAATATCTTTTTAAGTCATTATCTATTAAATTAATACAACTTAATGAAAAAATAAAATATATTTGTATGAATTTTATTTCTAGTATCAAACTTAACTAGAAAAATAAAATATTAAAAAAATCATGCGGTGCGGGTTGAAAATGAAAAAAATTGTTATATGGGGTAAGGCGGGGCGGATTAAAAATTTTACGGGTTAAGCTCAACCCACCTCACCCACCACTCCATTGCCATCCCTAAACTTAGGACCCATTTGGCCATAGATTTCCCAAGTAATATTTGGGAAATTTTTTTTGGCAAATATCTCAAATTCTCAAATGCAATTTTTTTTCCTAGTATTTGGGTCAAATCTCATTATTTGGGATATTTTAAAAATTGAAATTTTACACTAAGCTTTTATCTTTTACAAAAGCACCCTTATAGTAGTTGTTTGCGTTGTATTACATAATTTTTTACGTGAACACCAAAGTAGTGATGAAATATGAAAGTGAATATGAAAGTGATGATATGGTTGTTGATAAACAATCGGCTTAGGGTAACAAAGTCATGTGTTTTGTCTACTTCATGATGTATGGAATGATGTTTGTTGCACTTACTCTAAACTACCACATTACTTGTTATTTGTTGTAACGAAGATTCAATTGACTTGTAATACAAACTTATAGTTAATTTTGATAGTTTTTAAAACTTATGAGTATAAATCATATTTTTCTAAAAATGTGAAATATGTTTCCCAAAATACTATGATCAAACACATGGTGAAATTTCATCCAAATAATATTTGCCAAAAATATTTGGAAATCTATGGCCAAACGCTAGCTTAATCTCTTTGTTGTCATGAAATTTCCTCTTTAATCTGACGTTCTCTTTGAAAATTAATCACACATTATGATAAATTCTTGAATTGAGCAAGAATTTGAACTGGGTTTATTTTGGAGTTAAGCTCAAACTCAGGAATTTTTTCTAGAGTTTAATTAAAAAGTTACGAAATATTATGATATGAAAATATAAATATATGTTCTAAAATAATTATTTATTTTCCTAGGTAAAAGTTAAAATCAAAATCAAATAGGATCAAAAGTCCAAATGACCTTTCGTTGACTAGTAGTCTAGAAAGTGGGTACCCAGACCAAATTTTAACACTTCTCCGTCCATTTTTAATTGTCATATTACATTTTTCAAAAGTTAATTTGATTAATTTTTAAAGTTGAATTAAATTTTATTAATTCAATATTTCAAACAAAAAATTTAGATATTCAAAAACTATACGAAAAGTAGTATAAATTGTAATTTTTGGCATATCAATACGATGAAAAAATACATTATGTTAGTTAAAATTCTTATAATTTAACTCTAAAAAAAAAACTATAACAATTAAAAGTGGAGGAAGAGTTTGATTTGCAAAATTAGTAGTATTATTGGGACTAGGGAGTGAACTTGCATTTCACTCAAAGGCCATTTCCCCCTTTTCAAGCTGTACCCACCCCACCACATGTAGATCGAGTACCTCATTCTTTGATTTGAAGCTTACTTTTCCCGTAATTAGTGTTAAATAGTCAACTCAAATCATCACGGTAATTCTAGTAGTAATAATTTTGTTCTATTAGATTAATAACTTCACTTTACTTTATGCGATATTTGTTATCTTCGATCAGTATATGTATCAGATATTTTTAAACATATCCATACTTTTTTATAACTATTTAAATATTTTTTATATATATTACAAATTTAGAGACACGAGGAGCTAATACTATGCTTGATGATGTAAATAGATTATCAGTAGCAGTATTTGGTCGAGAAAGACAAAGGTCAACAGACTCAAAACAAAAACAAATATCCCACTAATCAAACACCCATCTCATATTAGCTGTCAAAATTATTTAAAATAATTATCTTAATGCACTAGTCATTTTTCAAAATAAAAAAAATTATATATTTTTATTAATCTCATTTCACCATTAGTAATATTAATATCGTAATTTTGTTCTTAAATAAATAAAGTGCAATTTATTGTAAAAATAAGGATAAAAGATTATATTTTTTTAAGGCATGTGGAATTTGCAAGTGAATGATAAGTTTAGGAGATGTGTCCAAAGAACAGCGACGGCAATATAGTTCCCGTTACCTTAAAATATATGATAATTAATATGTGACACATGGAACAATATTTTTCTAACTTGATCACCTAATTTGGAGCAAGTCCAATGTATAAAATTGTGGGGAATAGACAAATTAAAGGACCACGAGTTTTTTTTTTAGTTCGCTTATACCTGTTTCTTTTATTTAAATTGTTGTATTAATACGAGCTTCAAAGCTTATGACAATATAAATATAATTATGGCTGACGCTGAGTTTTCCTTTTAGTTAGAAAAAATAAATTTGGAAAGTCAGTAGGATATTTCTGATTCGACTTCACTTTTTCTTATTCTTTATGCATGATTTATTTATTAAAGGGATAAGAGTCTGAAAAATATCTCAATTTTGGTTGAATTTGTTGTTGCGATACTAAACTTTCATAAGGACCTATTACCTCCCTAGACTATTTAATACCGCATTTTGTACCCCCTGAACTATTAATAGTGTATTTTAAAGGTATATATGTGCCCATGTGGACACGTTACTATTTATAATTTTGCATTATTTTTTATGTCCACGTGGGGAAATATATATGTTTAAAATACGATATTAAATAATCTAGGGAGGTAATATGTCCTCATGAAAGTTTAGTATCACAATCGCAAATCCGATCTTGGGATATTTTTTCCCTTTATTAAATAAATATATTGCACTGAATGAGGGTGCTTTTTTAAAAAGTGTTTATGATTTATAATTCTCAAACAGATTCATGAAAAAATGAAATAATTTAAAAGGTAAGACTGGGACAGTTTGGTAGATCAATCTTATTAAAAGTTCACTCATTTCAAGTTTGTTTTATGAAATTATTAATTATTTGTTTTACCACTTTGATTCATTGGGACTGTAATTATAAAAGAGTAATTTGTATGCTGCAATAGATGATGCTATTCATTTCTTAATTAAAATTTTGGATTCAAATTTGGGTATAATTTTTTTTTTCTGATAAAAAACATTTTTCTTCCCGAATAAAATCTTATCTTAAAATAATCACAATATAATATTCAACAAAAAATAATAATGTGTGAAAAATTATACAAAAATAACCTAATATAACATTAGGTTGGTCTTATTGAATGTGAATACCTAAAACCCACACGAGTTACGTAAAAATTGTGGATCATATATTTATGCGGGATCAAAGACATCAATACATTAACAAAGTATAACTTAACTAACAAAAAGAAAACACTCATCACATAATACTATGAATTGTTCAAGTCGCATTAAGAAAATTATTCATCTTTTTTTTACATTCGATGTGAGACTTTGTAAAGTACTTAAAGTCAAATTAACAAATAAATCAGACAAACTAATCTTTTAATAATGACTTATTTGTATTTGGAGTTCATAATATACCCATTTTTAGTAAAAGATTTTTGATTTTGTGGGTTAAAAATAAAATCATCTATAGTAGAATATTCTTAGTCGATCAAAATAATACGTTTCATAAGTGAATTTATATTATTAATTAAATTTTAATATAAATATTCGAAACTAAATGTTCGATTCCTAATAGGAAAGTTGACCATGGTCCACAGAATTGGTTCTGAAAACCGGAGTGCACCTACCCAGAAGGGCAGCGCCAGCGCCGTGCTTTGACAGTGGTGCTTGCACCGTCAAAACGCGTGGGAAATATAACCAATCTCTGCTGGCTTACAGCCCAAATTATTCCACCTTTCCCAAATTGACTATTCTCATTCTTTTTTTCTCTCCACTTACCACTGGTATTCTATGAAAAGAAATTTCAACTCAATACGGAAAATTAGATGAAGAGAGACCACACGATAATAGGCTCAAAAAGTCAACAAATGATCTAATTTGGTCTTTTTCACGGGCACACTTACTGGATCGAATAAATTTTCATTAAATATAAATATAAATATAAATTATGAGAGATATCTTAATAATTTGATTGATTAATTTCTCTGAAATTTAATTTGATATGTGAAGTCTCTTTTTCATTTTCTTTCCACCTACCCCTATTTTTTAAAAAGAAAATTCACATCGTGTTATTCTAAATTTTCACCCCAATCGCATCATTAAAATTTGAAAGAAGAAGAAACTAAATAAGCATGCCATCTTTTACGCAATAAGTGTGCCCTCAATTCCATTTTATAGGAAGTATTTACTTATTAGTTCGTTTAGAAAAAAAGAGAGTATATTTTCTATTTGAAAAAAAATAATTAAAATTAGCTTTCTTTTACATTATAAAAAAAACATAGGTCCATACTCTTTATTATAGTCACTATAACTTCATTATATTTTCAAAATCACCAACTTTAATTTAATATCTCTTTCTTAAACTTGTTGACTTGTCACATAATCTTATATAAATTAGCAACAATTAATAAAGTAGAAACCTATGTCACCCAGTAATTAACTAATTATACCATAGTTCTATACATCATAACACATAACATCACTTTGACACCTTATTTGGATGGTTGTTACCCGTTGTATTACATTGTTAGTTTAAATATAATTTTTGTTTTAAATGTTATTTAAATTTTATTGTTCGTATCGTATCGTTTAAATCAATCGTTACCTCATTTTATGTAATGACCGATTTGGTGTGATTGCGTCGTTATCTTAATATTTTCTTCTCATTTTTTCTTTATTTATTGTTAGTTATATTTCATCTTTCACCATACATTTTCGTGATAGGTAGCTATACTCTCATTCAGATCATAGATGTGTAATATTATGCAACGACATATAACGATGTAATTTATTCAAACACTATATTCATTAAAATAATACCAATCCATACAATACAATATATTATAAAACATTACGTAACAACCATTCAAACAAAGTGTAACTTTACAAAGGTGCAAATTAATAATTACTGTAAAACGTTTCTACCATTCAAGTTACAAGGCTATTTTGGAGAATTGATCAAACCCGCAACTGACGAATACATTGTTCGCTTTACGTGTGGAGGGCCGGAGGCTTGTCGTTGATCTCTCCACATCAGTGCTGAAAACGTGAAAAAATACTATTTATTTATTTACAATTTTTTAATTTATTTTCCTCTAAAAAGTTTCCTTATTAAAGACTCCTCACTCCCTTCTCACATATTTGTAGATCTTAGATCTGCTACTACTATATAAAGGACATCCCCGCCCTCTTCTCCTTCATAACACATACACTTACAGATCCATCTTTTCCTCTTTCATTTTCTCGCCAAATTCATCTCTAAGGTATGAATTTTCGAATTGCTTATTCTTATTCTGTTCTTAATTTCAGCTGCACTCTATGCATTTACATGATTATGTGTATTACATCGCATATCGTTTTAAAAAAAAACTTATATCAGCTTGTTATATTTGTTCGATCTTATAGATCAGAAGTTGTGAATTTTGTAGTATTTTTAACGTTAATTTGAGGGAAAATGATGAATTACACGATTCGGTGTGTAGTATCTCAAGCATTTATGATTCAGCTTGCTATATTTGTTGATTTCGTTGATCAGAAGGTGTGAATTTGGTGTAATTTTTTAAGATTAATATGAGGAGGAAAAGCTTGATTTACACAACTTGGTGTATAACAACGCAATCATTTATGATTTTATAGATTCAAAAGTGTTAATTTTGTGGAAACAAACTGTCTTTTTTCATGATTTTGATTAATTATGGAAGTGCTCAATTATACATAAATGAATTGTTAGATTTTGATTAGATCTAGTGTTTGTTCATATCATTCAGAGATGGATCTGAAATATGATTTTCAGTGGATGATCTGGATGTCTTTGACTCTTTGTATTAGATCTGGTCAAGATCATGGTTACTGAATATCATTTCCTCTTGCATTTGTTAGTTTCTGTGTTGAATTAGTGACGTTGGCCTTATTTTCAGTTGTTTGAGAATTACATATCAGGTTGAGTTTTAAAATTGCATATTAATGTCATCCTCTGAATGTACAATTTCCTCTTCCGTTTTACTGTAAGCGTTGGACATGGCATGTTTTGAGTGTATCCTTGTTCAGGAAGTCTTATCTTTTGTACGTATTTTCTTCTTGTTTCCTCTGCAATGAGAAATGCATGAAACAGTAAGTTTTTATGGTTAGGTGTTACAGTTTATAGTTTAGAATGTAGATCTTGTGGTAAGTATTGGGCAGATAGTGTGACCGTGGTGTATACTCCAATCATTATTTTCATTTTGGATGTCATGATCGGACCTAAGCATTTGCTTAAGGGGTTAACTGTTATACACACGTTAAAGCTTGTAGTTTATCAGTTAATGCATATTCTCTGATATGTTGTTTGTTGGATATGATGGGTTTTTCCGCGACCATGAGAAGTTTAGCCTCAGAAATATGTGAACTTTTGTCTGTTACAGAGTTGAAAAAGAAGAAAGAAAAATGGTGAAGATTTGCTGCATAGGAGCTGGATATGTTGGTGGCCCTACCATGGCTGTCATTGCACTCAAATGCCCCACGATTGAAGTGGTCGTTGTTGATATCTCTGTACCTCGCATCACTGCCTGGAACAGTGACACGCTTCCCATCTATGAGCCAGGCCTTGACGATGTGGTCAAGCAATGCCGAGGCAAGAATCTCTTCTTCAGCACAGAAGTGGAGAAACATGTACATGAGGCTGATATAGTTTTTGTTTCTGTCAACACTCCTACCAAGACTAGGGGTCTTGGAGCAGGCAAGGCTGCAGATCTTACCTACTGGGAGAGTGCAGCCCGTATGATTGCCGATGTCTCGAAATCTGACAAAATAGTTGTTGAGAAATCAACTGTTCCAGTAAAAACTGCTGAGGCAATTGAAAAGATTTTGACCCACAACAGCAAGGGAATCACCTTCCAGATCCTCTCAAACCCTGAATTTCTTGCAGAGGGTACTGCAATCGAAGACCTCTTTAAACCTGACAGGGTTCTAATTGGAGGCCGGGAAACTCCAGGAGGCCAGAAGGCTATCCAAGCATTGAAGGATGTTTATGCTCATTGGGTTCCTGAAGGCAATATCATTACCACCAACTTGTGGTCCGCTGAGCTCTCAAAGTTGGCGGCCAATGCATTCTTGGCACAAAGAATCTCTTCTGTGAATGCCATGTCAGCTCTCTGTGAGGCTACAGGAGCAAATGTTACACAGGTGGCATATGCTGTTGGTAAGGACTCGAGGATTGGTCCCAAGTTCCTCAACGCTAGTGTTGGTTTTGGTGGATCTTGCTTCCAGAAGGATATTCTGAACCTGGTTTACATTTGCGAGTGCAATGGTCTGCCTGAGGTTGCTGAATACTGGAAACAAGTTATCAAGATTAATGACTATCAGAAAAGTCGTTTTGTCAATCGCGTTGTTGCCTCTATGTTCAACACAGTCTCAAACAAGAAAGTTGCAATTCTAGGTTTTGCTTTCAAGAAGGATACTGGCGATACTCGAGAGACCCCTGCTATTGATGTATGCAAGGGACTAATGGGGGATAATGCTAAATTGAGCATATACGATCCTCAGGTGCAAGAGGACCAAATCCAGAGGGACCTCTCGATGAAGAAGTTTGACTGGGATCATCCCCTTCACCTCCAGCCAATGAGTCCCACATCCGTGAAACAACAAGTCAGTGTTTCTATGGATGCCTACGGTGCAACAAAGGATGCCCATGCTGTTTGTATTCTCACAGAGTGGGATGAGTTCAAGACCCTTGATTTCCAGAAGATATATGATAACATGCAAAAACCCGCTTTCGTTTTTGATGGCAGGAATGTTGTGAACGCTGACAAGCTAAGAGAGATTGGCTTTATCGTCTACTCAATTGGTAAGCCTCTCGATGCCTGGCTTAAGGACATGCCTGCTGTCGCTTAAGAGCCTTACTTTGCTCGAGTGGCTTGTTTTGGTCTTAAAGATATTAGTTATCAGGCAATCATCAGCTGGGATTCTTTACTATTTTTTTACCACTTCAATTTCTGTTTCCATTTTATCCATTGTAGTCATAAGACCACCATCGTCACTATCTGAGTCGCATGTAAGATGTTTTCTGTTTCTTTTGTATTGATGATTTTATCATTTACTTGTCATATCGGAGGATTTATTTGTTCGATTATGAAGGGCATTTGAGTTTTGAACCAGATACTGTTTTCCTTCAGAGTTTTGGTATGAATTTGGTGTGCCTTTCAACTGACAATTTTCATGTCGGCAGTCTTTTAAGTTGGATGCTTTCGGAATCTTTAACTGGTTAGTACAAAGATTCAGTATTACAGACTTGAATAATTAATTAATATTCCAAGTTGAAAGGGCATTAGTCTTGTAATCATTTATTTCCATGTGTCAGTGAGTAGTTGTCTTGATCTTGTGTCTGCTTCAAACAAAAGGTTGGTTGTTGGGCTGGATTTTTCTTATACCTTTATGACAAAATCCAAAAAAGGTCTTTACATCACTGATCACACGATTTTGATTTTGGTGCTCTAAGCTAAGATCCAACGACTCATTTGTTCTCAAATGGGCCTAAATCAGAGTTTCGTGATCCTAGTAATCTGCGGGGCCGAAGTAAAGGGTTTGATTTCTGAAGAATATGCCAAGGCGGAGAAAGCAGTCATATAAACCAACTTTTTTGAACCTTAGTATGAATCCTGAAGTTTGTTCCAGAACATATATCAAGCTGATATTCCCAAGCGGATCATGAACATAGGCGGATCCTGAATTTAAACTAAATGAGTTCAATCTTTTAGTTCTTTAGCATAGATTGTCAATCTACTAATTTTCTAACAGTCCACCTAGAAAGTACTGATTTCAGCTGAACTACTAGATGATATAAGGTAGCATGCGCCTCAGATTGCTATATACATTACAACTATGTTTCGTCTGCTATCACAAACAGTAGATGCACAAATAGTCTGCCTTCACTACCTTAAAATATTGGATTTGTTTCTCGTGGGAACATGCAAGTATTCTTTCTTAAAAATCCTGAATACGCCTATGGAAAATTAGTCAGAATCCTTGTTAAACTTCTTTAGAAGCTAAAGCTCTCGTCTTGTTTGGTTGTCAAGTTGACTTGTATAATTTCTCTATTTCTCGACTCTTTTTCATCAATCGGTTATAAATTAGAGTTGACTCTTCCGATGTGAGTTTTGCAAAGTTTAACTGGTTTCAAGTCCAATTAAAAGAAAGAAGTTACATAAGTACGATCACTTGAAATGTGACAGAGGGAGTATGATAAGTAAGACTAATTTGCAATTGCAATACACAACACTATTACCATTAATTCTAACTAATTTAATTGATAGATCGTTAATCGAACTTAATTGATAAACGTGTAAGTTGCCAACCAACTGAACTAATAATCAGAGTTACGATCTCATTTGTTACTTTATTAATGAGCCAATTCAAGTAAAAAAAGGCACTCTAGCTTCTCAGACTTCATAATTTTCTTTTTCTTTTTGCCCTGTATTTGTTTGATTTTACACAAATGATAGCATCACTTGACAAATCTTTAATTGCATATAAGGCTTTCTCCTCAAGAATTCAAGATTTTCAAGAACTCTGTTTCTGCACACTCTCCAATTGGTTAGTTTCTGAGTATATATAAACCCAAAAAACGAACTCCTAACAAACCCATCTTCTCCATTTAGTTAGAGTTCGATTCAGTTTCATGCTTTGAAGGGAAAATGGAGAGTCAGACTCAAAAAGGGTTTTCTTTTAGTCCCATATATAGTGAGTATCTGAATACACAATTCCCATTACAGATTTCTTGATTTTGCAAAACTTTTGAGCTTTCGTTTTCGTGCGCTATTATTCTTTCAGCATTTCCTACTGATTTTCCTCTTCAAGTAAGATTCTTTTTGCGAACCCCAAATGGAAGAAACACAAGGACACAGGTTTATATGCAAGTTTTGTGACAAGAGTTGTGATAGTGGAAAGTCATTGGGAGGTCACATGAGGGGTCATTCAGCCTTGATTTCAGCTGCAAAGAATCAGAAAGAAGAAGCTGATAGCAAAATGGGTTCTCAAGAAGAAGAAGAAGAAGCTGCAAATACCCATGAAGATTTGAGCATTTCAGAGCAATCTGATGCAAGCATGAATCAAGAAAAGGACAGTAATATCAGCATTGGTGATGATGGTAACGCAGTTGGTTACGGTTTAAGAGAGAATCCAAGAAAATCTTGGAGGGTTTCTGATTTAAAGATTTGTTCTTTGGAAACGACAAATATCTGTAAAGAATGTGGCAAAGAATTCCCCTCCATGAAAGCTCTGGCAGGTCATTTGCGGACTCATTCGAAGAAAGGGATGGAAAAAGGTCATATTTGCGAGAAATGTGGAAAAGGGTTTGCTTCAATGAGGGCCCTTTTTGGTCACATGAAGGTTCACTCGAAAAGATTAAGGGTTGATAATCAAGATTCTGAATCAAAACAGAGTTTGTCTGATTTCGATACTGTTTGCCCTATTCGGAAGAAGAGATCAAAGATAAAATATAAGATGGATGCAAGTTCTTCTTTTTCCGGTTTGAATGAATCCTCTTCTGCAATTAGTGAAGTTGATGAAATGGAAGAAGCTGCTAGGTGTTTGATGATGCTGTCATCGGGTGTTACGGACTGGGATGAATACATTTCGATTTCAGAGAATTCTAAAAATGAAAATGTCATTCTTGAAAGTGAATCATTTCACTGTGCTAAGGGGATTTCTGCTGATGCTTTTACTGTAAAGCATTTGTCTCATACTGTCTTTTCTGATTCTGGTTGTGTTGATGGTTACGAAAAGAACTACGAAATCGCTGAGTTTTCAGACAGGTTGATGTTGATCAACACTGAGATCACAAAGGTGTGCTACTCTACTGAAATGCAATTTGAGAATGATCCAAGCTCATCAGTTGTAATGCATGATCTTGCTTTTCTGAATTCTTGTTCAGTCAAGAATGCAGGGCTGAATATGGTCAATTCTCAAATTGGAGTAATCAGGACAAGTCCTGATCCTATCAAAAGCAAGGTTCACAAGTGCCCAATTTGCTCCAAAGTTTTCCCATCCGGCCAATCTTTGGGAGGCCACAAGAGGGCTCATTACACTGGATTCACTGAAAGCAAAACTAAAGAGACTCTGGTGAAAAATTTGGATGATGTTGCTGATAATCATAAATCTTTTGATCTGAATAATCCTGTTATTGCTATGGATGGAGGGGAAAAAGATGTTGAGCTCAAGCTTTGGTGGGTTGGAAGTGGTGACGCGCTGATGATGTCGAGTTGAGATAATTCATTCTCAGTTTCTGCTCTAGAGGTTTAAGAATCAGATAATTCATGATTCTTTTTCATGCTTGAGTTTCATCATTGTAAAGATAGTTTTCAGTCTTGGAATAGTTAAACAGTTTGCTGCCTAAACCATAATGAGAATGAGGCATACAAATTACAACATGACTGGTTACTTTTTGTTCATTGCATTCTTGCATTGGTAGTACATATTTTCCCAGCCCACAATACACCTATGCATGTCTTAATCCCAAGAGTTGGATTTAATCTGTTGAGTTGGTAAGACACATGTTGAGATGATATGTATGAAAAAGTAGCATCTGGCATTTGGTGATTGTTTAACAATGACATGAGGTATCAACAAGTTATAACAATTGGCCAATTGATGGTCTCTAGTGTCCTTCTCCTTATGGTTGGATGGCTATAAAATTAATCTCTCACTTTGCAAAAAGAGTGTTTAACTTGGACTTAAGCCAAATATGAGAATGTGTTCCCATAATACTCCATTGTTTGAGTTCATTAGTTGTTATTATTGCTGCTACTTTTTCATCGTTGGTATCAGTCGAGATTTTATCCAAAAAAAACCTCTCGGTCTTTTCAAAATAGGAGTAAGGTCTGTGTATACTTTATCCTAATACTAAACCCCATCCATGGAAACTACACTGGATTTATTGTTATATATAGTTGTTGTAATTGTTTTTGAAGCTTATACATGCATTTTATTCGAGTAATTTCCCTGGATAGTCACCCATGTTTGGGAAATTACCTAGGAATATCACTTATGTTTGTTTTAGGACCACAATATCACCCAACTTTACCTCTTTTCCTCAAAATATACTTGACACAAAAAAAATATTATCTCTCTCCTAATAGGATGCCATGTCACATTATTCCTTTTTTATTATTAACATTTTTAATTCCTTTTTCAATATTAACATTTTTTAAAATTCTTTAAAAACATTATATCCTTTATAGTTTGACAATATGGTTACCTTATTACTCTAATGAATTAAAATATCAACAAAACGGGAGTCCAAAGCTAAAAGGGTCATATTTTTCCTTCAAAAAACAAAATGGCACATCAAAAAAAAATTTAACCAAAAGGGCAAAATCCCTCCTGATGGATCGATTTTCTTCTAACAAAAATTGACGCCGTTCCGTTAAAAGAAATAAAAATCGCTGCATTTGGCAGCGATTTTCTCAAAAAAAAAATTATTATTTCTTTAAAATCGCTGCTATAGCAGGGTTTTTATTTTTTTTTAAAAAAGAAAAAAAAGTGAAATCGCTGCTATAGCAGCGATTTTTTGTTAAGGAATTAAAAAAAAACATAAAGAACAAGTTTTAAATTACATAAATTTTCGGCGGCAACCATTTAAAAAAAAATAAGTTTTTTAAAGAAAAAATCGATGCCGAAGCAGCGATTTTCAGTTTTTTTTTTTTAATTTTCATTTAAATCGCTGAAAGGGTAAAAAAAATTTTAAAAAAAGCTTTTTATGAAAATCGCTGGCTTCAGTTTTTTTTTAAAATTATTTTTATTAAATTCTATGCAAGGGTAGAATTTTTTTTAAAAAAAATAATTTCTTAAACAAAATTGCTGCTATAGCAGCGATTTAACTTCTGAACTTTTTTTAAAATTTCTTAAACAAAATCGCTGCAATAGCAGCGATTTTGCTTTTAATTTTTTAAAATATAAAAACGCTGTTATAGCAGCGATTTTAAAGAAAAAATATTTTTTTGAGAAAATTGGCAGTGATTTTTATTTCTTTTAGCGGAGCGGCTTCAATTTTTGTCAGAACAAAATCGCTCCGTCAGGAGCGATTTTCTCCTTTTGGTTAAATTTTTTTTTTGATGTGCCGTTTTTGTTTTTTAAAGAAAAAAAACTACACTTTTGGCTCCGGACTCAACAAAAAGGTGCCATTGCCCATTAGTGTCCATATAAAAACATTATCTCGCTTGAAAAATTGGAGGAAGCCACATATTTTCTTGAAGAATCAGAGGAGCTCATATTTGGATTTGCCGCCTAATCCCCTAGAACTAGGGTAGAAATTTTTGGGCTATGTAAATTTTTTTTACTAGGTAATATGGGTTGTCTAAATTTTTTTTAAAAAAATGTTAATAATGAAAAAGGAATAATGTGACATGGCATCCTATTAGGAGAGAGAGATAATGTTTTTTTTGTGTAAGTATATTTTGAGAAAAAGAGGTAAAATTGGGTGATATTGTGGTCCTAAAATAAACATAAGTGATATTTCAAGATAATTTCCCAAACATGGGTGACTATCCAGGGAAATTACTCCATTTTATTCCCATTGATAAGAACTCTACAAATTAAAAAAGATTTAAATATTCAATTTTCAGTAACAGCAGACTAGAGATAAGAGCTGCAGTTCTGAGCCAACTTGGTGCGCTCACTGTCGCTTCGCACGTGCTTGAGAAAAGAATATTTCATTTCTTTCGGTTTATTTATCTTACTTTCACTTTTAATCCGTTTGAGAAAGAATAACATATTTCTTTTTTGTCAAATTTTTAATTTCAACTTCGCAAATAAAATATGACATGATTTCATGTTTATAACGATAAAATTAAATAATATTTAGGTACATTATGTATCTTTAGTTGAATTTTTTTTTTAAAAAAATTCATGTCAAATCAAAATCAGACAAAATAAATTGAGAATGTGTGTTAAAAGTAGACTCAAGTTAGAAGAGTATGGTAAAATAGATTGGATGAAGTTGTCAACAACGTCTCTCTAACATAATCAAAAAGTTGAGCCAAACAGGTCTTGAACTTTTCCCCCAAAGATACCACCTTTCGGAAAATGGCATCTCACCATCACTACCACCCCTACCCTACGACGGCCGCAACCACCCCCACCACCACCATCTGTTACTGCTACTCTTGTCACCCCACCCCCTCACCATACCTTCCACCCCTAAATCCACACTCCACTCCCCCTTATACCCACTACCCCCCTCCACAGCCTCACTTCTGTACTTCCCATCTAGTCCCACCACCACCATCGCCGCCGCCCACTCATACCCAATGCCAATGTGAAAACGTTCACCAAAATCATCATCATTTTCAAGAATTGAATAATCAAGCCAACAAAGTAACAGACCAACAAACCCAACGAATTGTTACATCTCTTCTCCGTCGGATCGCTGCCTTAGAATCTTCCCTCCGCCGGAGCTCCTCTTCTCCTTCTGTTTCTTCTCGTTCTCGTCAAACATTACGCGATGCTGCAGCGCGAACTATTCAGACCCATTTCAGAGCTTTCCTTGCTCGTAGATCGAGAACCCTTCGACAGCTGAAGCAGCTGGCTTCCATCAAAACAACTCTCTATGTTCTCAAATCGTCAGTTTCTGGTAAAACACACTTTGATACTCGAGCTGTTTCTCATAGAGCGACGGATTTACTCGTTAGACTTGATTCTATTGAGGTAATTAAGCTCTAATTGCAATTATACGCTTATTATAATAACCCTAGCGTGTTGGGCAAATGTTGAAAAAGGGTTTTTTTTTGTAGGGCGATGATCCTTTAATCAGAGATGGTAAAAGGTCAATAAGCAACGAACTGACTCGATTTATGAAGGTGATTAATGGAGTTTCCATATTCTCAAGTAGAGTAGTGAAGAATGTGAGAGGTGGAAACAAAGCTAGGGTCTTTTCCAGTGACCGTAAAGTAGAATTTGACACAAATTTTAACGGAGCCATTGACAAATTCGCTGCATCAGTGAAGGAATCTGAAGAGGAAGAGGAGGAGGAGGAAGATCCCCAAAGCCCTAGGTTCTCTGATACTAGAAAATCTGGCGTTTTACGAACTAGGGGTGGTGGTTTGGCCAGGAGTTATGGTGGGGTTAAACCCAAACAAAGGAAATCAGTGACCTTTGCAGAGAATGGAGATGCTTACCTATCTTTCCATAGTACCATGGAGCCTGCTTCAATGGGGAATGTTAATGAGCAAGAAGCTTTTGATTCTGAGAAAGAGCTGATAAAAAATCTTAGCAAAAGAGTTGAAAAGCTTGGCATGGCATCCAAGGGTTGTGAAGGTGATGAGGAAGGAGATGGAGGGTCTAGTGGAAGTAGTGATAATGAAATGGATCCAAATTACGTTTCAAGAAAGGATGGCTATTATGAAAGGAATGTGAGAGATGAGAATGATATTAATGAGCACGAAAATGAAAGTTCCGTGTTCTCAGCACCTATGCCTGTGAAGATGGAAGCTAGAGCTGCTGATTATATCAACAGGAAAAAGGGTGTCAAAATAGTTGACAATTGAATAGGTTCCCAACAGGATCAAGATTTGAACTTTGCTCTCCTACAGGTCCTGTTGAGCATTAACAATTAGGTGGAAGCTAGCATTCTGACATTCTTGCGAATTGTTTGTAATTGTTAGTAATGATTGTCTAGATGAGTATTGTTAGGTTTGATATGGAGAGTTCACCTGTTTTGAAGTACTAAATTTAGATGTTTTCTTCTGTCATTGTGGTTATGGATGGGAGATCTTTTGGGTGTAATGGAACCTTATTCTGGGGTCTTTAATGAATGATTGTTGAAGAGTTAAAAGATGTCACATTTTATTCAACATAAATTAACAGGTGGCTATTTCCTGGAGAGAGTTGAGTGTCATTTGAACTTATGAAATAAATTATACTTCTCAGCAAATTGTTGTCCCCAAAGCTAGAGTACATTTTATTTCCATCTCTTCTTGTTAAAGAATGTTGAGGATGCATAAACATACTTACATGGAAAAAGCTCCAGAAAGTCAAAAAAGGTTTATCGATATCTTGAAGTTTCTAGAAGGGAGTCAATCTCTAAGATAATCAAGAGATGATTGATCCAAAAGTGAACCAAATTTACTTGTCGATGATCAATTTATATTAACTTTTTGACTATAAATTCTGTGTAAAACCTTTTTTTTTCGAAAAAGATACTAATCTGTGCCATTTATGTTTTTAAAAAGTTGGTTTGAGTTAATTTTTGATGAGCAAAAAATCCTCTTTTGGTATAATAGGAGCATTATGTTTGTTTTGCAAATAACCATCTAGTTTAACCAACAAGCTGGCCTACCATAACCGCTGAGTTAAGACCAAAATCAAGAAAAGAGGGAATTGCTTTGCTTGTTGCGCTGAAAAGACATATGTTGTAATTCATGAATGGCCCATCTTTGCCACTGTTCAAGAAATTGACGCACCTAAAACGAGTCGTTGAAACAACAGCTACAGCAGCAGAGAAATGCAAGTCCCTCTTAGAACACTGCGCCAAAATCAAATCTTTAAGAACCACCAAGGGAGTCCATGCTCATACCATTACACTCGGGCTCCTACAATCCATCAGCTTGACCCATTTGCGTTCTCTCCTGACAGCAGCATATGCACTCTGTGGTCACACTTCCTATGCTCGGAAAGTGTTCGATGAATTGCCTCAACGAACTTTGCTGTCATACAGGTCCATGATAAGAATGTACACCCAGAAGGGGTTCCCTAACATTGCCCTCAAACTCTTCGGGGAAATGCTGCGATCGGATAAACACAGGCCTGACAGGCATACATTTCCTTATGTGATTAGGGCGTGCAGTGATCTGTTCTTACTTCAGCAGGGTATTGTTATTCATGGGTTGACTGTTATAAGTGGGCATATGTGGGATACTTTTGTGGGAAATTCACTGTTGTCCATGTATATGAGTTGTGGAGATAAAGAGGGTGCTAGGAGGGTCTTTGAAGCAATGCAGGTACGAACTGTTGTGACTTGGAATACTATGATCAGTGGATATTGCCGAAATGATAGTCCTAAGGAGGCACTAATGATTTACAGGAAAATGGAAGATGCTGGTGTTGACGCTGATTGTGCCACTGTGCTTTCCGCGTTGCCTGCGTGTGGGTGTCTGAAGGACTTTGAGATGGGCAGAGAGGTTCACTCACTGGTTGAACAAGTAGGTTTTTGGGACAATTTGTCAGTTCGGAATGCTGTCATTGATATGTACGTCAAGTGTGGAAGAATAGATGAAGCAAGGTTGGTTTTTGAGAAGATGATAGATAGAGATGTGGTTACTTGGACTTCAATGATCCACGGTTTCATTTCAGACGGTGACATAAAAAATGCACTATGGTTTTCTCAAAGGATGCAGCTTGAAGGTGTAAAGCCGAATGCAGTAACTATGTCATCCCTTCTTGCTGCATGTGCCAGTTTGCCTCATTTGAGGCTTGGTAAATGTCTGCATGGCTGGGCTATCAGGCAGGACCTTCAGGCTGATGTTAATGTAGAAACTGGCCTTATTGACATGTATGCTAAATGCAATTGTTTTAGACTAGGCTATCAGGTGTTTACAAAGACTAGCAAGAAGAGGACTGTCCCATGGAATGCAATTTTGTCTGGGTGCCTTCATAATGAACTTGCAAGAGAAGCGATAGAGCTTTTCAAGTTCATGTTGTCAGAGGCTGTCAAACCTAATGATGCAACCCTGAAAAGTGTACTTCCTGCATTTGCCATTGAAGCTGATCTAAGGCAAGCGTTGAGCATGCACAGCTATCTTGTAAGATCCGGATTTGTTACAAGAACTGAGGTAGCTACTGGTTTAGTTGATATATACTCGAAATGTGGAAACTTAGATAATGGTCACAAGATTTTCAATGGGATACCCAAGAAAGAAAGGGACATAATCTTGTGGAGTACGTTAATTGCTGGTTATGGGATGCATGGGCATGGCGAAACTTCTTTGTCACTGTTTAATGAGATGGTGCAATCTGGGGTCAAACCTAACGAAGTCACTTTCACCTCGGTCTTGCATGCTTGTGGTCATGCTGGTTTGGTGGATGACGGTCTTTGTTTGTTTAATTTTATGCTTAGAAATCAGTCTGGTAGTCTTAGAACAGATCATTATACCTGTATGGTTGATCTTCTTGGTCGAGCTGGCCGACTTGAGGAGGCATATGAACTTATTAAAACTATGACTTTTGAACCAAGTCATGCCATCTGGGAGCACTACTTGGTGCCTGTGTGATACATGAAAATGTGGAACTGGGAGAATTGTCTGCAAGGTGGCTGTTTAAGGTGGAGCCAGAGAACACAGGAAATTATATACTGTTGGGAAAGATCTATTCTGCAGTTGGAAGATGGAAAGATGCAGAGAATGTGAGACTTTTGATGAATGAAGTCGGACTGATAAAGGCGCCAGCTCAAAGTGTCATTGGGTGACAAGTAGGTGATTTCTTTTAGTTTCCTTGCAAATAGATCTAAACGAGGGCTGCAGGGTGAGGGTAACATCAGAGAAATATGCAACAATAGGACCAAAGCTAACCCTCTTAAGTCTCCGGTGGTGTTTATAATCTCCTCGATTTTGCTATTGTAATTATATTTCTGCAGTGCACCTCATACCAGCTCGATATATAATTGCAAGGCGGATTCATTTTTATACGATCGGTCAACCACAACTGGTTCATGTGCTCATATTGAAGTCACCATTTAACTTCAAGAATTCACATAGCTCGAGCAACCAGAAGTCCAAGCTTTTATATATTTATTTATCTATAAGGTACGATTGTTGCTTTCCTTCTCTATAAGAAAATGGATTTAATTAAGACACCTCTTGATGATGATTCATTAAGTTACCTGTCAAGGTAAGACGGGTAAGAGTAAGGTGTGCGTACACTTTAATCTGGTCTATGTTGTTGTTGTTGTTGATTCATTTAGCTAAATGTATATTAGCTGGTACACTAAACTAGTAAATTGCCAATTAGGTAAAGGGACACTTTTCTTAGTAGCAAGTTTAGAGACCTAAATGAGGTGACCTCAAAGAAGTATTGTTGGCTGTGAGCATGCTACTTTGAAGCAAGAAAATTGACAACATCTGCTTGAGTAATCAACCTCTTTTCATAACTTTGTCCATATCTGGCTAGCATCTTTGTGAAAGCCATGTGCTATGTATTATTTAACACGATAATGGATTATTCTGTTACCATGTTACTATGTTAGTTGGAGGGCTTCAAAGGCACTTCCATCACATAGGTTTATGTCAAATCAAACAATTTAACTATAATGATTTTTAATTAAACCGAGAATATATAAAAATTTAAATAATAAAAGCTTTTATATGCAAAATAATTTGTATTGTAGTCATTTGTTTGATACGAGTGGATTTATTATTTATTAAAAAAAAGTTCAAGTTTCCTTTTTGTTTTCTAGTACGAGTAGGTTTCGAGTTTATTTTTCTTTTTGTTTACCTTGTTGGCATCAGATTTTCCTTTTTTTTTTTCTACCATATAAGTAGATCTTTCTTTAAAAACCAACGAAAAATACCAACATTAGTCCGTGAAAGATTTATCCGGCTTTGTCCATCATGGCGGCGAAGAAGATGAAAGCTAGTTCAATAAACCCTACAATTTTTCCGGACGATATCACAATTGAACTATTCTCAAGGCTTCCTGTTAAGTCTTTAATGCGATTTAAGTGTCTTTCAACCTTTTTTAATTCTCTCCCATCGGAATCATATTTTATGGATATTCATCAACTATCCCGTAGGAGAAGTCGCCTTGATGAAATCAAATTTTTTGTGCCAGAATGTGATGGTTTTCATAGCATAGAGATGACAAAAGAGGGAAGAAAAGTATCTAGATGTGATTTTGATTTTCCATACAACAACTTATCGTACAAGAATGGTTTATTCTGTTTTTCGGTTGAAAAATTCGAATCTGTTAGAATTTTCAATCCCGGTACGAGAGAAGTAATAGTTCTTCCCCGAGTGAAACAATTATATAATCTTCGTAACTTGAGTGAATGTTATCTTTCATTATACTATGGATGTTCATATACACTAGGTTACGAACCAGAAGAAAACAAGTATAAGGTTTTGATGACACTTTGTGTTTCAAGAGAGTGCACAAGAAATTGGGTTTTTACTTTAGGAGCAGATAAATCTTGGAGAGAGATTAATCGTGTGATTTATACCCCACATAAAAAGAAACACACACTTTGTGTTTGTGGAGTTATCTATACATTGAATAGCTGGAATACATCTCTAGTTGCATTCGATCTTAAAGCTGAAAATTTCAAATTTATCCCGTTGTGGAGGTGCTCACAACTCTGGAACGGTAATTACGAGCTGATAGAAGTGAATGGTAAATTAGCAGTATGGAACGGTACCTCTAAGTTGGTGCATTTGCGGGTTTTAGGAGACCCTCAAAAAGAGGAATGGCAGAGTCATATCATTCACTGTCCTTCAAACATGAGGAATTTTGGTACTTATCGAATCTGCAGTTGTTGTGACGGTGAGATTTTAATTTTCTTGATCAGGTTAAACGAATCGGTTAAATCTCGATCCTGTTATTGTTATGATGTTAGGAAAAATACCTGGAAATATTTGAAAACTTCATTGTTTGGGGTGAAGAATTGTGTTGACAAAGGCATTTATACTTATGTGGAAAGACTCTTTCCACTAAAAAAATTTTGCAATGTTGGTTAGTTTGATGTATGTTGGATACTCGCATTAAAACTCAACTAATCTCATCAATCATGCAACAAGATGATTTCTCCAGAAAAGAGGTTGGAAGTAGATTTAGCAATTTTAATTTTACTATTTAAATTATATTCACTGCTTTAATTACTTTACTATTGTAGAAGAAACTTGTCTTATTCTGCTTAGTGGATTTTTTTTTGTTTTTTTAAGTTCTTGTGATGTTTCAGCATGTTCTTGCCACAAATCTTTGCAAATTTTAGGATTTGTTAAGTTGTTTGTGTTTTATGTGTCTTTTTTATTAAAAAACAAGTTTTTTTACGTATATAATTGAACAATCGTAATAGCACATTCAATTAGACGTATTAGCTCGGAATTTCTTCGTTCATATTTATGTGTAGCCCTTCTTTGAAAAAAAAAAAAAACAATGACATGTTGTGTGTCAGTCGGTCTTCTTCAAAGAACTTTTAAGAAATATATATATATATATATATATATATATATATATATATATATACATACTTTTTAAATATACACGATTTTAAAATTTTGGCCAAATAGCTAAAAAAAAATTAAGTTTGTTTCTTTTTTCTTAAAAAAAAAAAAGTTGAGAGTGAGGATGACAATGTGAAAAAATCGAACCTTACCAACAAAGAAGAAGGACAGGTGTTGTGAACCCGACATGACTTGGTAAGGGCCTATGGACTATTAGATACTTTTATTTGGGGATCCAGGCCCAATTAGTATCTCTATTTAAAAGGACTAGAAGTTAGAAGAAAGGGCATGGAATTTATGTGAAGCTTTGGCTTTCTGATCCTCTCATCTCCTTTCTATGATCTAGTATCTCATCCCCTTCTAGTTACCTTTGTCTATGTTAAGCTATCCGTAATTAGTGTGTTATTACTTTGTTGTGCGTATTCTACCTTGTAACTTGTATTCAGTAATTAATATATATAAGAGTGCTTCTGTTGGAATTGAGTTTGTTACATCAGGTTAATTAATGAACTAAACAACTAAGATTTTCCGGCCAAATAATATAATAGAAGTTCGGGTTAATCAATCAACAAAACTACTAAATTTTTCCGGCCAAATAACCGATAAGAAGCAATCTCAAGAATTCTTTTTTTTACAAGATATCAAATTTAAACATGTCATATGAGTAATTTTTTTAAAATTGAAATAGTAAATAAAAGGTCCAATTTACCCCTGCCGCTTAAATTGCATTATTGGCATGAGCATTGGCGCCGACACCAAAATTGAATCACTAAAAAAAAAGTCATATCAGTGCTGATCGTGCCATACACAACCAATTCTCCTCCAACATTGAAAACCTTCGTTTTAATTTATTTGACTGATTTTTAATTTTAATTTTAAAAAAGTTGATTGTTTTTCTTTTCAACAATTATTTATTTTTAAATTTCTACATGTTTATAATTTAAAATGATAAAATTTAAAAATATTTTAATAAATTTAACATATCTTTAATGTAAAATCATAAAAGTTAAAGTTTCTTAAGCAATATGTCATGTTTAAATATATTTAATAAATTGAATTAAAAGAACTAGTATATATGCCAATACAAGAAAAACAAATAATAATAATAGCAGAAATCTATTTTTAGTTGTATAAATTATAGGAACCATATATTATAAGTACTAAATAACATTCTATCACTTCTAGTTTTCTATTTACCAAAATTTCCTTAAAAATGATGTTTGCGGGATACATAGTGTTGTGCACGGGATACATTAGGTTTGATACATTCCACATAGCGGGATACATAGCGTTGTGCACGGGATACATTAGGTTTGATACATTCCACATAGCGGGATACATAGCGTTGTGCACGAAATACATGCGGGATACATAGCGTTGTGCACGAGATACATAGCGTTTGATACATTCCACATAACGGGATGCATAGCGTTGTGCACGGGATACATGCGGGATACATAGGTAAAATAAGGGATTTTTGAAATAAGTAAGGATAAATGGATATTAAGGTAAGTAAAGGAGTATAGTTAAATAATTTGTCCTTTTTAGTTTTTGCGTCAATTAGGAGTCCAATCATTTTCTATTAGCAGGTCCCGCATGTTACTATGCTAGTTGGAGGGGTTCAAAGGCACTTCCATGTTAGGAATGTTTGGTTAAAATACGTGTTTATATTAAATTAACTAATTTAATCATTGCGATTATAAATTAAAATTGAAAATATATATGTCATATTAAATGATAAAAGCTTATACGACAAAATAATATGTATAGTAGTCATTTGTTTGATACGAGTAGATTCATGTTTTATTTATTTTAAAAGAAATTCAAGATTATTTTTTGTTTGTTTTCTAGTACGAGTGGGTTTATCATTTTTTATTTTTTATTTTTTATTTTTCAAGAATCTTTTTTGTTTTCTAGTACGAGTAGGTTTCTAGTTTTTTTTTTTACTCTTCCTTTATACATCAAATTTCTTGTTTTACAGCTCTTCCTTAAAAAGCAATTAAAAATACAAACATTAGTCTTCTACATGGCCATGGCAAAGGCAAAGAAGATGAAAGTTAGTTCGACAAACCCTACAACTTTTTCTTATTCTCGAGACTTCCTGTTAATTCTTTAATGCGGTTTAAATGTGTTTCAACATTTTTTAATTCTCTCATATCGGAATCATATTTTATGGATATTCATCAACAACACTCTAGGAGTACTGGCCTTGATGAATTCAATTTTTTTGTGCCAGAATGTGATGGTTTTCATTGCATAGAGATGAAGAAAGATGAAGGAAAAGTATCTAGATGTAATTTTGATTTTCGATACAGCGATTTATCATACAATAAAAGTTTATTCTGCTTTTGGGTTGGAAAATTAAATTCTGTTAGGATTTTCAATCCCGGTACAATAGTTCTTCCACGAGTGAAACAATTACATCATCTTCGTAACTTGAGTGAATCTTATCTTTCATTTTATCATGAATGTTCATATACACTAGGTTACGAACTAGAAGAAAAGAAATATAAGGTTTTGATGACACTTCGTGTTACAGGAGAAAGCACAAGAAATTGGATTTTCACTTTAGGAACATATAAATCTTGGAGAGAGATTAATCGCGTGACTTGTTTTCCACATGAAAGGAAACTTGCTCATATTCTGCATAATGGATTTTTCTTGTGATGTTTCAGCATGTTCTTGCCACAAATTCTTTGCAAATTTTAGGATTTGTACCATTGTATTGTGTTTTATGTTATTTTTATTAACATCAAGGTTCTTTTACTTACATATACAATTGAACAATTATAATAGCACATTCAAATAGACGTATTAGCTCGGAATATTCTTCGTTCATATTTATGTGTAGCCCTTCTTTGAAAAATGACATGTTGTGTGCCAGCCGATTTTAAAGATTTGGTCAAATAACTAATTTTTCAAAGTTTTTTCTTTTAAAAAAAATAAAAAATTAAAAGTGAGGACTACAATGTAGAAAATCAAATCTCACCAGCAAAGTAAAATTTCTTAATCAACCAACTAAACTAGTAAGATTTCCCCGCCAAATAACTGTAAGAAGCAATCAGAGAAAAATTCTTTTTACAAGACATCAAATAAAGATGTCATACGAGTAATTGCTTTTCCTACAAAAGTTCTTTTTTATTCAAATGTTAAATTAAATGTCCAATTTACCTCTGCCGCATAAATTGCATTATTGACGTGAGCATTGGCGCCGACACCAAATTTTTTTCTTTTAAATATTTTTTTTTTAAAAATCTACATATTTATAGTTTAAAACTACAAAATCAAAAGATATTTTGATAACTTAACATATAGTTAATTTTAAAAATTCTTAATATGTATGTCAAGTCAAAACATGTTTAACAAATTGAAATAAAAAACAACTATATGCCAATACAAGAAAAAAAAAAATAACAGTAAAAATCTCTTTTTAGTTTTTGCGTCAATTAGAAAGTAAATATTTGTGAAAATAAAAGGAATATAAATTGGCACATACTCGATGTAGTATATGGTACGCTTGGTCCAATCATTTTCTTTGCGTATATATTTTCAGATCCACATGAAAAAAGCGAAAAAGTGTGCATGTGGCCATCTCAGATTAATCATGCATCTTAGGAGTTGTTTAGTTTGCAAATTAAATTATCTTAAAATTAATTAATTTATTTGTTTGAGAAGGGGAATAAGATAACATAAATTTGATGAAATATACATAAAACTTTGATCTCTTTGAATATCTCACTTTTTATTGATTAACTAAAACGAGCCTAAATTTCTTATAAGTACTAAAGAGTACTGCTAATTGAAAAGTTAATAGGCCCAGCACAACTGTTTCAACAAAACAAAAAAGAAGGGGTCCATTGGACCCATCTGAAGCAAAAGCTACTGGCTATAATTTTTTGTACAAACTTTAATAATAAGATTCAGTAAATTGTGATGTGATAATTGAGATCTCTAAAACTTAAAATAAAAAATATTTTTGTCTTTTTTTATTTATTAAATTTGGATTTGACAGACGTTTTAAAAGTAATGATTATATAATTTATCATTTTATTTTATTAATTGATAGAGTTTTAAATATATTTATTCACTATATTTTCAAGTACATTAACTTAGTGGTAATAAATTGAGGGTATAATAGGAAGAAAAAAAAATTATTCTTTCTTGATTTGTCAAAAAAAAACACGAAGTAAAAAGAGAAATTAAAGTAGAACATATTTGACAAATACTCCATTCGTCCAATACTATTGAGGGTGTAATAGGTAAATCTTTTTGTCCTTTCTTAGTTTGTCAAAATAGACAAGTGAAAAATAAATTGGACAAGTAATTCGGGATAGAAAGAGTATATTCAAAGGGTTATAAAGAAAAATTACCCTTCTATTTATAGTTTTTAATAACTGCACAAAATTAATAGTGGACAATTATTATTGGACATATGAAGTTAATAGGAATAGAGAGAATATGTTAGAAGTGTTAATCCCAAAAATAATCATGTGTGTTAGGAATTTAATCAATCTTCAAAACTAATATCAACCATCATCAACATGTGATTTAACAAAATCAAAACGATTTACATACAGATTTAATTGAAATGCACCAGCATTGGATAATACAGATGGAATCAAAAAAATATTTCAAATAAATAAATAATTATCCATTAACATTTATTATACTCAAGTACTCATTTTTTATCATCAACAACATAAAAATACTTTCATATTTTTACCAAAAAAAGATGAGTAATTATAATCCCTTAATTTTAGTACAAGTATATAATTTAGCTTCTATTCTATAAAGACAGCTCAACATATTCCCCAATGCCCACACGGTTTTGACTCAAAATACACACGCAATTTCCAAATTTAATTCGAGTCATTAATTTTAGCTGAAAATTTGGGGTAATATTAATCATACCAATAATCAAAATTCGAAGTAGAAAAAAGAAAAAAGAAAAAAAAACACGTACTAGTAAAAGCTTTTCTCCTTTTTTTCTCTCTCTTCATTCAATCTTCCGATCTTAGGAAGAAAATAGCAAATCCTCTGAATATATTTCTGTTCGATTCAAATTTGATTTGAGAAAATCTTCATTCAGATTCATTGTGCTTGTGGATGTTGTTCATATTTTTGTTTGTTTGGGGGTTTGGGGGATTTTGATTTGATATACAAATGCATTGGTCTCGGAAGGGACCAGTTTCTATATCATTTGATTGTATTGTTGTTGGATCTGATGATGAGAAGAAGAATATATTTGGATTGTTCAAGAATTTCTGAAGAGAATAGTAATAATATTAATCCAGCAGGACGTTGTGGCGTCGTAGTCGGCGGTGTGTTGTCATATAGAGTTGTGGTGGATTGGAATTGGGATTGGGATTGGGTGGAGGAAGATGCAGCTGCACTTCTCACCTAGTATGAGAAGTGTAACGATATCGAGCAGCAGCAATGGAGGATATGGTGATTTGATGAAGATCAAAGTCGCAGCTCGCCACTTTTCCTACCGAAATGTTTTTCATACCATACTTATCCTAGCTTTCTTTTTGCCCTTTGTCTTCATTCTCACTGCTGTTGTTACCCTTGAAGGTGTCAATAAGTGCTCTTCCATTGGTAATTTTTCTTCTCTCCGATTTTCATTTATTAATCTTCCTAGATCCTGATGTATATCTACGCATATTTGATGAGGCAATGTTAGTAGTTTGTTTTCAGAATATTTAAAATGTTGTTTGAGTTGAATTGGAAATTATTGTTTTCCACTCTAGCCGGAAATGCTATTGGAGACGTTTTTGTATCTTAGGATTGTGTGGAATTACGGGAAAGTTAAGGCTTAAACTTACTTGTCCTTCAATAACTTGCCCCAATGATTTGAATTTGATGACAAAAACTAGAAAAAGGAAACAAGCAATAGAGTGTACATGGTTTATGATTTATTTTTTTGGTATACTTTACATTTTAAATTTTTTTTTTACTCTATGCTGCTCCACCGTTCAAATTAAGGAATTGTTAATGCGTTTATTGTCCACTTTAGGAATCAAATTATGTGATCAAATTCAAATGATAGATGTCTGAGTGCATTGCTTTTGTGGAGGTGGTGGTTGCATAGTGTTGTTTCTGGTATTCTGTATGAATGGTATTTAGTAACTGCTTCTCATGTTTGTTGCTTACTCTACTATTTATCTTAAGTATGCAACAAACGGACATACTTGAGTCTAGTTGACGTTAATTTCTTATGCGTGTTGCATTAAGCTATCTTGAATCACAAGTCTTTGTGAATCACGTGCTCTGATCACAGTTGTTTTTGGTTGCCTTCCAATGCTTTTTTAAAATTCCGTGGGATGAAAAGGAAGCTTCGTTGGTGGGACCTTTTTTGCTTTATGGATGGATAAATTTTTAAAGTATCAATGTGCCAAGAAGCTTGTTTGGTCAGGTGGTGTTGGTCCTGGTTGTGATGCTTCTAGTTGACATTTCCTTTTGTCACCCATTTTACTTTAGAATGTTGTTGGATATGAGGGATCCCTTTCATCATTATTATCTTTTTTTTTTTTTTTTGCAAACTTTAATTTCATTTTCTTCTCCTTGGTTTCAGATTGTTTAGGTAGACGATTAGGACCATCGCTTTTAGGACGAACTGATGATACAGGGGTAAGTAAACTTCATTCTACATTCTCTTACTGTCATTGCTCTCCAATCTTGTGCAAACTTTTACATGGAATTCCTTTTCTAACCCAAGTCTATGCCGTTGTTTGTCTATTGCTGTTTTGGCAGAAGCTGGTCAAGGATTTTGTTAAGATCCTCAATCAAGTGAACACTGAGGAAGTGCCTGCTGGCCTGAAGCTCCCAGAGTCCTTTAGTCAACTTGTTGCTGAAATGAAAAATAACAAGTACAGCGCAAAAGAATTTGCTTTGGTTCTAAAGGGAATGGTATGTGCATGTGACTCTTCTCTAGCCTTTTCAGTAGTGCATGTCTATTAGCCTTATTTGTTCTTGCCTTCCCCTTGGACTTTCTACCGTCTGCCCAGGGTTGTTGAGTTACTTACTGACCCCCACTTTGGTTTTGATTGCGCACAGACACAGAAAGTTATTGTCCTCAGCTGAACTTTGTGTTGAATTTGCTATTTTGCAGATGGAGAAATCTGAAAGAGAGATTAGGGAATCAAAGTTTGCAGAGCTGACGAATAAACACTTTGCTGCAAGTGCAATTCCCAAAGGCATTCATTGTCTTTCGCTGCGGTTGACTGATGAGTACTCCTCGAATGCTCATGCACGCAGACAGTTGCCTTCACCAGAGCTACTCCCTCTGCTATCTGACAATTCATTGCAACACTTTGTAGTGGCCACTGACAACATCCTGGCTGCCTCAGTTGTGGTAAATTCTGCTGTGCAGTCAACTCTGAAGCCTGAAAAGATTGTTTTCCATGTCATCACCGACAAGAAAACATATGCAGGCATGCACTCATGGTTTGCTCTGAATCCTGTCACTCCTGCTCTTGTGGAGGTTAAAGGTGTTCATCAGTTTGACTGGTTGACAAGAGAAAATGTTCCCGTGCTTGAAGCTGTTGAGAGCCATAATGTTATTCGTAAATACTACCATGGAAATCATGTTACAGGTGCCAATCTCAGTGATACAACTCCGCGATCTTTTGCATCCAAGTTGCAGGCTAGAAGTCCAAAGTATATCTCTTTGCTGAATCATCTTCGCATATATTTGCCAGAGGTACCAATTTCTCATATCTTGTAAACTGTCTTCTGTTTCTTTAAAGCAAAATTTTGGAGGGTCAAATTCCAATATCTTTTCGACTTCCCGTCCACCTTTACAGAGAGCTGGACATTGAAATAATACTTTGCGAGAAAAAGTTTCCAATATATAAAATAGAGTCAACGGTAGGTTTAAGCATGCGAGTGAGGAGTTTTGGATAGATTAAGATGCATACATCCTGGTTCAGTGAACATTATTTGCATTATTTATCTGAACCTAAGCGAAGTTGATCAAAACTTTCATGCGACGAAGTTTAGCCAATCTTATCCAACATTTGCGACTTCTTGTTGAAAATGTTGTGAAGACACATAAGCAGAGCCTATAGGATGAGTAATGTTTATGCAGACATTATTTCTTCATTTTACTAAACTGTAAGATTTTTGTGCTCCAGAGATCATTAACATTATGCACACATGTCCATAAGATGGAATAACAGACTCTTCTGTATACTGTCCTGCACCACAGCGGCAAGTCAAAGTTTCAATATCATCTTTCCCACACTGAAACAGTATAATGAGACCTTGGTACCCCAGATCTGAAAATTTAATTCTCAAATTACTCTATGGAGAATGAAGTAGGTACCCCATAGAACTAGTCGAGCTGCGTGCAAGTTGGCCCGGACACCACGGTTATTTTAAAGAACTTTATGGAGAGTGAAGCACAATTATATTCAGACTTTGGTTTGTTATTTTCTTCTTGTTCTGATAATTTAACTCCAAGTTTGCATCTCCAGGCGCTCCTTTCTTTTCTAGAAGAGTTCCACGCAGCAATAATTTTTGCTTTTCCTTTCTTCTACTTGCAAGCATTTAGGTTTTAGTATAGATTTCACTTTGTAATATTTCCCTCTTCGATACTTGTATGTAATCCCGGAGCCCTCTTGTGGGATTACACTGGGTATGTTATTGTTGTTGATACTTGTATGTGATTCACTCTCCGGTCCTGCATTTTTGTAGATATGCACGTTTTCAAATAGCAATCTGAGATTTCTGTGGTGTCGTTTTTTGCAGCTCTTCCCAAACCTTGACAAAGTGGTTTTCTTAGACGATGATATTGTAATTCAGAGAGATTTATCTCCATTGTGGGACATCGACCTTAGTGGTAAGGTCAATGGAGCAGTTGAGACTTGTAAAGGTGAAGACGAGTGGGTGATGTCTAAGCGATTCAGAAATTACTTCAACTTTTCTCATCCCCTAATAGCAAAGAATTTGAATCCGGAAAACTGTGCATGGGCTTATGGGATGAATATCTTCGATTTACGTGCATGGAGGAAGACGAATATTACAAATACTTATCATGCATGGCTTAAAGAGGTACTCAATCTTATGCTTTGTGATTATTTGGGGAAAAAATTGGTTTATCTGAATTCCAGCAGCTGTGTGTTTGCATTTTGGATCTTGCCAGTGTTATGATTTTTCTGTCATTCCTGTTTGTGTTTGTCTCTTAGCTGTCCACCTTACTATTCATTTAGCTTTTTTTTGACATGTTCGTCTAGGAGGATTGTGTGACAAATTTAGCATTTTTGGATTCTGACTTGACATTGTTAAACTCGCTAATCGTTGTAGAATCTGAAGTCAAACTTGACAATGTGGAAGCTTGGAACATTACCTCCTGCTTTGATTGCATTCAAGGGTCATGTTCACCCCATTGACGCCTCATGGCACATGCTTGGCTTGGGATATCAGAGTAAGACCAATATCGACAATGTGAAGAAGGCTGCTGTGATTCATTACAATGGCCAGTCCAAACCCTGGCTCGAGATAGGCTTTGAGCATCTCCGTCCTTTTTGGACCAAGTTTGTTAACAGCTCCAATGATTTTATCAGTAATTGCCACATACTGGAGTAGTCAACAGATTTTCCATCAAGGGGGGGGGGGAATTTTGAAAGCCCACAGGCTTTGCAAACTTTTGATTGGTTCCAGGGAACTTTAAATGCGATTGATGAGAAGGAGATTCTGACAATTGCCTGGATATATTCAGGTTTCCACATTTGGTGCTTTGTCTCCTGCAAAAGAGAACCTGCATTATTCTAGCATGGGCATAAGATTCATTCTTTCAATATGTAAAATAGAAGTTGGTCACATAATTCTATTGATTGGACAAAGGACAATATTTTTGGCCTCTTACTGGGGTTTAGCCTACTCTCTATTATACTATAGCTTAAGAGGCAATGATAGTGCGTCCCAGGAAATGCTCATCATTGCCATCATCAGTCATACAAATTGGTGAATTGCGAGAAGAAATGCTAGGCGCTGCGCTATGTTAGCTGCGCAGAGATGATTCTTCCAACATTTTTCCTTGTTAATTTTGTTGTCATTACTCCATTCAATCATCTTGGTCATCATATTAGACTGTTGTAGGCTCTATGGAAACTTGCATCACATAGTTGGGTAAATCCGTAGGTTATTACATTGCTACTTGTTTTGTATGATTCAATGATATATACAACTGATATGTGCAGATTCTTTTTTACCAAAAATTCTCCAGTTTTACTTTTTTGCTTTTTATTAACGTGGTTTTTGTTGTCTTGATGCTTGATCTTTCTCAAGTCATTTCATTCCTAATTATGGGATTCAAATTTCAATTAATGATACCAAAATTATGGTAAGGGTTTGATAAGTACAACTGTGAAGTCAAAGTACAAATTGTTAAAAGAAAATCTTGCTGAGTAAAGAAGTGTATCATACCAGCCTGTTTCGTAACTTTCAATATTAAAAAAACTAAAGAATCCCTTTAAATGCACTCAAAGGGACAAAAAGAAGCAATAAATAAATATTCCTATGTCAAGAAAGGTCTTAAAAAAGAAGAAGAAGAAGAAGAAAGGTCTTAAAAAAGAAAGAGTCTCCAGCTCAAATCATACAAATCTTTTTATGTATTTTTAATTATTTAAAAGGATACGGAAGGGCCAAGAGAGGAAAAAAACAGCGAAGAGTCGTTTGATGTGAGGTATAAGGTATAATAGTCCTAACATAAAATATAAGATTATCTTATCCTGCGTTTGATTGGAGGTATTAGGTCATCCTTGGATTATTTCACCCACTATTTGTACGTTAATGATGAGACGAATTATTCTATATACATGGTGAAATAACTTATTCCAGAATAAGTAATCTCAGAATAACTTGTTTCCAACCAAATGATCAAAATTAACTCACACTTCAACGGCTCAAAGTCTTTAGCAATTGACAATGACAGTACCTTGACTATTCTATCAAGTACTATTTGTTAGTATTACTTTTATAAATGTTAGAATAATTGAATTTGAATTGTAACACCAAAACTTATTACTAGTAATTTTATTAAGACCATATCCTTCAATGTATAAAGAGTTATACACATATTTACTTTCCTTTAAAATATACAAAGTAAAATCCCAAAAAAGAAGAAGAATATTGGCGAGGGGTTATCCAAATCCTTCCTAAAAAATTACCCTACGTATATAAATTTTCTAATATACTCCCCGGTTCATATTTACTTATTAAACAATTTTTAATATAGGTAATTACTAAAATATATTTTAAGTATATATAAAAATTTTGAATTGATTCAATGAGGAGAAAAAATGTCGATAATCCCATAGAGTGAGGAGGAGATACCGAAGACTGCAGAGAGTTAACTTTATTGACCCAAGCGAAGATATAGAGAGAGCGAAAGAAGACTTTGAAAACTCCGAAAACTGCCGAATTTGATTTTTCTTCATCTTCTTCTTTTTTTCTCCCACCCCCTACCTTTTTTTTTTTCTTCTTTTAATATAAAAAATATTATTTTAATTGTTAATGCATTACACGTATTACCCACCCTTTCCTTTTCTTCTTCCCTAGTTTTGTAGCTCTATCTGTCTTGAGAAATATCATATGAAATTACTTTGTTGGGTAAAAAGTGGACAGTTTCCAGATCAGTTTCTCCTAACAGTAAGCCCAATCATGCATTTGATTTTATTTTTTTTAATTTAAAGATCCATTCTTTTGTAGAATTGTAACTTGATGATTCTTGCCTGCAGTTTGAGTAGATATATTGTAACTTTTTTTTTAATGCTTTCTTGACTTTTGGGGTTCTTTAATTTTGTGATTTCTTGGTTAATTTGAACTCAAGATTCTTGAATTTCTTTCTTTTGGGTTGTTTAAAAATTGTAGTTTGATTCTCTTTTCTTGATAATCTAATCTAATTCAAGAAAGTGTAATTATTTAGTTGATTTTGTGTGGGTTTATGTATATCTTGTCGGTGTTAACATCTGATAGTTCATTATGAATTCATATTTTGTTTTTTCTGAAGATTTAAGGCTGGGATTTGGGAATTTGATGAGATCCATAAAGTGTCAAGAACCAAAGACTAAATTCTTTGGTCCTGGGAGCTTCAGTGATTGTGTTAATTAAGGCTGAACAGGTTTCAGGAAGATCCTAGTAAAATATCCTTGTGTTGGGTTTGTTTTGTAAGTTAGAACAAGGATGTCTGCAGCTCAAGATCAACTGGAGATCAAGTTTAGATTGATTGATGGAACAGATATTGGCCCCAAGAGTTTTTCTGTGGCTACAAGCGTAGCAACCTTAAAGGAGAACATCCTTGCTCAGTGGCCTAAAGGTTAGTTTAGTTCTTGAATAGCTATTAATTGTTTGTAAGATTTTCAATTACCCAAGATTTCTGTTGGTGGCATGATTGCTTCAAGAACCACAATCATAGTATATGATCTGTAGTTGTTACTTTTGTTAGATATAGAGCTCTGTGGATAGTTCCTTTACTTAAGTTTCCTACCGATAAGGAATACGTATACAATGATAAGAAATTTTGGCACGTTGTTATTCAGATAGTTGAGGTGCTTTGCTGCTTCAAATCCAACAGTGGTATGTTATTCAAAATATTGGGTATTCCCAAATCCAACAATGACATGAAGCTCTGGCTAACCAAAACTTTCAACTTTTCCTATGCATTGTTGTATGTTATTCAAAATATTGGGTATTCACTTCTTTCTGATAGGACTCTTAATTTGAAGAATGAATTTAGAAAGGAAAATCGAGAAGCCTAAAGAATAAATTAGAGGGAATTGCTCAGCTTACTCAACAACTCAAGATGAGCTCAATTCTGGGTAGAAGAAAGAGAGGAGAGTTGTTATTGATCTTGGTATAATTTCCAGATGAAAACAATGAATGCCAATTGCAGCTATTCAAGAAGAAGATTGGAAGGCTTCCTCTAACTCTACTAACTACTTCAACTAACTCGATGAATACACATAAATGGGAAGTCGTCTAATTAGAGGATTGTATCTCTTTCATTTAATAAAACCAACATTTTCAACGCACCTTGTTCCAATTGCACTATATTCATGCATGTATTTTAGAATGTCCTATTACATTCACACTTTGCTAAGTATGTGAAAACCTTGACTGAACTTTAAGCTTTGCACAGTTCACAAGAGCATGTATTGAGTTAATCATGTTTCTCAGCATTCGGGATGACTCTGAAAGCATCAGGTCGCAGTGCAAACAAAAATATATCGAATTAGGAGCTTGAGATCTTTCCTTAAATTCCTTTTTTATATTTTCAGTTAATTTACCTGAATGTTGGGCACTTTCTCTTTGTTATCAAAGATTTTCTGCTATTAATTTTCTTTCTATAATCTTTTCTTAAATATTGGGTGCAATCTTGATTACAAGTTTCCAAGTCATGTTTTCTGAGACATATCTTATGTATAGAGAAGGATAATGGTCCGCGGACAGTAAAAGATGTCAAGTTAATCAGCGCTGGAAGAATATTGGAAAACAACAGAACAGTGGCTGAATGCAGAAGCCCATTATGTGATATTCCAGGAGGAGTTACGACCATGCATGTGGTTGTTCAACCACCAGCTCAGGAGAAAGGTCAGCTTAGATTCACTAAACATATCAACGATATACATAATTTGAAACGTAAAACAGTATTTACATCAATTTTCCTTTAGGATGTTTGATTCATTTCTTTCTTTCATTTCCTTTGCCAATTTCCATTCTGTGTTATATGTTCTTTTTTGTTGTGTCGCTGTTTCTGAAAAATTGTTTGTTGTTTGAATTTTGCTACTGGTGAAACAGAGAAAAAAGCATCAGATGACATGAAGCAGAATAAGTGCCTCTGTGTTATACTATGATATTCAGTTCCAACAGGGGGATGGCTATATGCAAGGTAGGAAGTTACTGACTTTTATTCTCTGACAGATATCAAAGTCTGTAAACTGATGTTTTGGACCCTCTACTTTCAGATAAAGACTGGTGGTTGTTAACAATGCTGAAGTTGGTGAAGTAGTAACAAACATGAGTTGTTGGCATGCCATCCATTCTCAAGATCGTGTATTGTCTGGTCTCATTGTCTTTTGTATTTGCTGCTTTCTTTTTTAGTGCTTGATGGATGCAAAGTCCATTCTGCATTGATTGAAAATTTGTGTTGCTGTCAAGTATACCATTTCTTATCTGTAGGACTCTGTTGTCTGTACAAAATACGAATTAACTCGTTGGCTGAATTCATAATTTAATCTTGAATATGTTCTTATCTTGATCGATGTAATATATAGATACAAAAAAAAGGATTTGGAATATATTGCATTGAAATCCAAAGATTTCTTTACTTCAAAGTTAGTGTTCAACCAGTGGGTAATTTGTCATATTCTCTGGAACTGTCTTGTTCTGTGCTAATAGCATTGCTGATCTTGATTGAATAATGTGGATATTCTTGGCCTTGATTGCAACTGATACTTTCAATGGTTAAGAAATTTTAGTACTGTGGATAAATTTGAAATGCATATTTGTTGTTGTGACTGTCGTTTCTCCATCAACTGCTATATTGTTGTCAAATTGGCTTAACTAGCTTGTTCTTGAGCACTATTTTGAAGTTTCTGCCACTAGTGCACGTTTTATTTACTAATAGGTGACACGTCCCTTCTCCGAATCCCTTGAAACATGGAGTCTTCCTTCCTGAACTACATTAAAGACATGTTGTTGTGATTTTACTTGGAGCTAAGTCAGGAGGGACAAAAGATAAATGCTTTCTATCCATCGAAAGCAGATGATCGGAAGGTAGGAGTTAGGACCCTGGGCTAGAGCAAGTTGGATTGGGGTATATATAGCTGCGACATGGTACAGATTGAGATGGAAGCAAGACACAGTGAAAGCTCTTGATATACCAGCTATTTGATACAAATTCTTGAAAATACACCAGAGTCAGGTGCTTACTGTTAATCAGTGCATGTCTCCAGATGGATTCATGTATTGAGCAAACAAAGATGTTTAGCTAATGATGAAATAGCTGGTAGCAGATTTAAGATGGGTTCATGAATTTGAACTTCCTGCATTCTTGACATCCATCATCATGCAAGAATATTGCAATTTTGGACAGGTCAGGTAATTACTAAAGGTCACATGTTATACATATCAACAGAAATGTATAAACAAAATTATTCCTCCTTTGATACTATCTGCCATATAAATGACTCAGCCATTGATGCTTTACACCCTCTTGCAGCGTCACCTTTCTCTAGACCCTGTGTAAATGCAGGATACTTTTTAAGCACCGAGTAAGTTGCCCTTTAAATGTTTCTCACTAGTTAAAAACTGTTGAAAAACTTTTCCCTTGTAAGTTGTAAGGGATCGTTTCGTTTGAATACAAGTTATGTTGTGATTAGTTATGTTGGAATTAGTTTTTATAGTTTATTTGGTTTGTCATATTCAAACTTATATTTATTGCATAATTTTTATGAATAAGTTGTTTGTTTATAAAAATACCCTCCATTTTAATTTATTTTTTTACATATTCTTTGCAAGCTTGATCATTCTTAATAATAAAATTTTCATCTTATTTAGCTTAACTATGTATTTCCATGATTGTGTCGTGTGTTTTTAAAATTAAACTTTCATCTTATTTAACTTAAAAATAAAACTTCCATCTTATTTAGCTTAAAAATAAAATTTCCATCTTATTTAGCTCAAAAATAAAACTTTCATCTTATTTAGTTTTAAAATAAATCTTCCATTTTAAGTTTATTAAAATAAGAGAAATTTTATTAGTAAAGTTATTTACATTTTAATTGATATATAAAATATAATTTTTAAGTGAGTAATAAACTATTTAATTAAAAATATGTAATTTAGTAGTAGAGTGAACATTTTAAGAGAAATCCAAATATAAATAAACATAAGAATATTCAAGTTATAATATATTCATAAATAAAAATTGTATTTATAAAATGTAATTTTTAATAGAAAAATATATTATTCATAAAAACAACGAATAATTAAGGTTGTGAATATTATTATAAATGTTGTTAAAATTATATTAATATACATAAATATAAAAGTGGTGTATAAAATAGAGTTTAAAGGGGTATTTATGTTATTTTACATACATTATAACTTATTTGGGATTACAATTCCACTCCTAGTGAGGAATAACTTATCCCAGAACTAATTAAGTTATCCCAGCCTTTGCAACCAAACAACGAATTAAAGGTCAATCAAAAGTTATTTCAAGATTAACTTCTCTTATTTATCACACCAAATGACTCTTAAATGTATGCGAACCTTGTAAAGATAGAGAAGCTATTTTTATATTACAAGGAGATAGTGAAACAAAATTAGATAATTGTTACACTTTTCTTTCATAATTAATACTCCCTTCATTTCAAAAAGAGTGACCTAGTTTGACTTGACACGAAATTTAAGAAAATAAAATAGACTTTTGAATCTTATGGTCCTAAATTAAAGTTATGTCAAATGTACAAAATTGTCACATGGAAAGTTGAAAGTAAAGTGTTACCAGAAAAAGAAACAAGTCATTATTTTTAAAACAAACTAAAAAGGAAAGAATATCATTCTTTTTGAAACGGAAGGCGTAATTAGTAATAAAATAGAAATGATAGACTAGACTAGAACAGTGTAGCTGAATGGAGAATCTACATGTAAGTTGTGGGGTCCATAGTTACCCATCCAAATGTGCCACGTGTATGATCCTTAGTTCCTTACTGACGCTCACGCGCGGAAAAAATTTACTATGCGAAAGTCATTCGTGTGTGAGGCATTTTTTAATTGAAAGTCATCTAATGGGTCCCACTTTTCAAGCAAAATTGAAATTCTGTCCTTTCATCTGCCATTTTTATTTACTTTTATCCTTTAATCTTTTTTTTCCGTTCCCTTCTGACTCTTCTTCTAAATATTTTCTTTTTCTATTTATTGAATGTTTTTAAATAAATTCTAATGAGGCTATTCATGTATTATGTTTGTGATTCAAAAATGTTTAAGGATATTGATTAGTCGATCCAATTAGTTGTAGATTTTTTTTTTTGTGCACCGAAGTTTGATCGATCTTTTATATAATCAATATATAATTGTTGAATAGATTTGTTTGGATTAATTTTTTTGTGTAATTAATTTTTAATTATTTAAACCAATTCAGAATAAATATAGTACACATTTACCAATTTGATTTTTTTATTTTTAGTAATGATACTTATCTCTTTTATCTTTGCCATCAGAAAAGAAATTCATTATTTACTGTCCTTTTATTACAATGACTATAATTTTATGTGTTGGGATCTATAAGCTTTGTTAGGTGAATAGTTTATAAGAAATATAAAAGAAAAAGTTTAGGTGACAATCTCATAATTAGTTTTAATTTTGATTCGGGTCTCTCAGACTATTAGAAAAAAATTAGCAGTAGTAAAATTGATGAAAAAATTATATAAAATGTATTAATTTACATAAAAATATACTCTATAAAATAACCACTTACCGCACACATTAAAATTAAAAATCAATTAAAGTATTTATAAATAACTAAAAAAATTCGCACGCGCTCTCACGTTCGGGAAGTTACGAGAACACTCCACCGCTCCTTATAAGTTATATTCTCACGCAAACCCCCAACTTTTGCTGTATATTCCATAAAAACACTCTCTCTATCCGCTGCAACTTCTCTTCTTTTTTTTTCCTTTCCTTCTTCTGCTTCTCGTTTTTCTTCATTCTTCTAGAACGTTGAGATAGCAGAATAGTATATTTTGTTCACAATATGTCTACTGTGACGTCATTTTCCGGCGTACAGTGTTGCGTTCCTTCTTCTTCTTCCAATTCTTCAAGCAGAGTAGCTTTATTTTCATCTCATTCAGCGCCGTACCTGAACTTCTCAGGAAAATCGCGAGTTCTTGACAAGTGTAATTCGTTGAAACTGAAGAGGAAGGATGTGTTCTTCACTAGAAAAACAGAGAAACTCTTCCAGGGTTCAAGGCTTACCATACGTTGTGATGCTTCAAGTGGAAGGGTAAACTACTTATTCATTTATATACTTATGGATTTTACTTTTAGTTCTGATTTGAATTTCATTGTAAATGCATTTGTTTTCTATAGTGGAAGTGTGGAAACGGTTTTTTAGGGCTCACCACCTTACCTAATCAATTTATTGGTTCTGAATTGAGTGACACTTTATCTAATCAATATATTGGTTCTGAATTGAATGAAACTGATATAAGTGGTGCCAATTAGTTTGTGATTTAGTAATAGTTGATTGATATCCACAATAGGAAGATTTGGAGTGGTATTCAAGCAGTTGATAAGTCACATTCTCATTGAATGAATTGATCAAAATGCAGTAAATTCTCTGTGCTTGCACATTTTTCCGTCTGGGTGTTTTTGCATGTCTATTTGTTTGCAGAATGAGATCCTTGTTTGGCAAATGTGAGTGAATGCTTAGGCATATAGAGTCGTTCCCTAATATCTCTTGGAATCAATGATCTGCAAGCAAAGGGTTGAGATAGCAATACCAGTTAGTTGAGACTAAACTAGTTATCCATGTAGGGAGAACCCTTAAACACCTTAAGGGGTAAATTATACAATTTGGAATGAAATATATCTCAGTAGAGTGGAATGAATATGGATGATTTATATAATCGTTCTGACTGATATATTTCAGTCTAAGTATAGTGGGATGGTTATGGATGATTTATTCAACTGTTTTGACTGATATATTTCACTCGATCCAATTAATTGGTTTTGTAATGGCAGATCACTCAGCAAGATTTTACGGAAATGGCATGGCAAGCAATTGTTGCATCACCAGAAATAGCGAAAGAGAACAAGCATCAAATAGTAGAGACTGAACACTTGATGAAGGCACTGTTGGAGCAAAAGAATGGGCTGGCTCGTCGTATATTCTCCAAGGCGGGTGTAGATAATACCCGCCTTTTAGAGGCTACTGATAAGTTTATTAGACAACAACCAAAGGTATGCTTCAGATCAACTCAAAAGTCTTTTGCTAATTATATGCCATGTTCACTTGTGCATCATTGGTTCTTTTCTAACTCCTGCTTAGAAATGATTTGATGTTCAATTATCAAATTGGTGTTTTCAGGATCAAAATCGAAATATGTCCACTCTTTATTTTTGCTTCTTCTTCATTTGCAACCCATGTAGAGTTTAGCACAAAATTCTGCTTTGATCAGCTCTGCCATTTTCATGTTAATGACAGTCACTTTATCTTGAAAGGATCTAATGAACCATTTAGTCCACACATGACC